AAGGCTCTACAGGTTAAATTATCAAGTTTTATGGATATTATTGGCAAAGGGTTTAGATTTAAACTTCTTATACGATTTTGATTTGGATCTACTTGGGGTTTTACTGAAAAAATGGGATCCTTCATTCATTCGCCCCTCTAGCAGTTTGGGGGAAACTCATTTGATTGAGGAGCTCCCTGATAAAAATGATTATTTGATGCTTCAGGGTTATGTTGCATGGGCGGATAAAATGGCGAATGGGGTGGTTGGGTATATTGAGTAGAAGGACGAAATAACAAAGGTGGCGGCTGGCTAGGAAAATTGTTAGTACCTTGGTTTAAATACCCTGGAGGATTAGCATGATGACCCCCATTATAGTTGGATTGACCTCGATCATAGCTCTGACGACCCCTATAGAAATTTGAGCGATCCCTCTTATAGCTTGCACGCTTCTTTTTTCTGCAATCAATTTCATCATGTCCGATTATCTTACAATAGTTACAAATTTGTGGAGACTTACTTTGGGAAGCAGTAAGCCTATCTAATTGTATCTGCATATCTCGAACATTTTTAGTTAAAGTCGTTATTACAATTACCAAGTCATCATGTACCTCTTCCGAGTTTCGCATTTGGGTATTGTTTAAGGAATTTACATTAGGAGTAATGCTTTGTAAAGATGCTTCAACTCGACTAGTTATCTTTATGGCTTCCTCGAAGGTCTGAGGGTCTAAAAGGATTACCTGAGCTTTTAACAATGGTTTCAAACCCTTAACAAATTGCAACAATTAAACTTTTTCTTGGAATTCGAGAGGTAGATTTTCAGATTTGGCTAAGCCTTCAATACGCATAGCAAAGTCTCGAGATTTTTGACCGGTGTTTTGTTCAGCGGTTGAAAATGCAGCAAAATTTTGGGCAAAAGAAGATTTTGGAGTGAAATAATCTTTGATACTTTTCTTTAGAGCTTCATAATCCAAATCTTTCCCTTCTAATGAATTATTATATAATTTTCTAACAACGCCCTCCATTTTTAATTTAGTTATAATTACTAATTGCTCCTTTTCCCAATCTGCTAATTTAGCAGTAGTTTCAAGAGCCTGAAAATACTCATCATAATTATCACTAGTTAGATTGGGGACAATTGACAATAGAAATGGGGATTTTAATCCTTCTGCCATACTTAATTGCTTATGTTTGCTAATAAATAATATATAAATAACAGTATCTATAAATACTACCACATAACAAAATATTAATTAAAGTGTCTGCCTATCCTGGTCAAGGCACCAAAAATATATGTGGTGATGTTCAGTTCATCACCACACACATTAAGATAAGAATAAAAATTAAAAATAATATACTCTTAAGTAAGAGAACAAGATCATTAGAATGATCACTAATTGCAAGGTGTTAAAACTATTTATTTAATATAGATCATTTAAGATATTTAGAGTTACAAATTTTGTTCCAGGAAGGCATACACTCCAATTAATAATAGGTACATAAAAAATTTAACATGAAATTATACATTATGAAGCTGCACTGCTACTTAATAAATAAATAAAAAATAATTATGGGGTGATAGAAAATTTTATAATATAACTTAGCTGTTGAGGATCCTCATATTTTGTATCTTAACCTCATCTCTCCAAAACCATGTGTGTCCTTGCCTTTTCTCTCACCTCCTCTAACCAAGCCCCCAAAGCATACTCAACTCTTATTGGCTGTTACCACCATCACAAAATAAGTAGGGCTATACTTGCTATTTCTTTTTTATTTTTGGCTAAATTATTTAAGGGCAGAAAAGGGCAGGTGACAACTTATGAAAGAGAAACTAAAACTTTAAAGTAATAAGAGCAGTGCAGCAAAGATAAAAGTAACAAAACATCATAAAAGCAATACCACATATATATAAAAGTAACAAAACATCATAAAAGCAATACCACAGTACTCATTAAAACAAGCATAGAGTAGATAATATAATACAGTAGAATCTAATCTACCTACACTCAAAGGGACTGCCTGGAAACATCATAAAATAAATATGACGTTGCTATATATGGGACAGTAAAATGACAGAACTTTAAATAACTACAAATTAAAACTTAATGTGCATTATTTTTTGCACATGTTTTAGCTTAGTCTCTTGTCCTTTGTGGTATATGTCTTATCCGAAAGAACATTAAAAAATATATTTCTTTAATTTGAATTTAAAACATCATTTGCAGCTAAATTTTCAAAGATGATAAAGTTTTTTTTAGTACTTCCTCATACGGATTTCCTCTACACTTCTTGATCAACAGCAATAATCTAAATTATGTAGTTTTTTAAATCTGATACTGTAAATTAATTCTAATTCTTACAACACAAAATTTCACTACCTTTCTCATTTAAAAATTACCTATTCCTTGGAAGATAGTGAGATCATGTTTGATATAACTGTTTAATGAAAAAATCTTCAAGTTCAGCATATGGGAAAGTTTCCATAGTGTTAACTTTTTCAGCAGTTTTTTTCTAAAATACTAGATTTTAAGTTGACAACATATTGTTAACTAATAATGGTTTTTTAGAATAAATTGTGCCGGTTGAAGAAATTTTGATAAATTATTCTTGATGCCTACATTTTTCAATAATTTATGCTTTTTCACATTTTCTTGGTTTCAAAATAACCCTATGTTTTTGTTGGATTAACAACAAATTCAGCGAACAATGAAGTATTAAGTTTTTTTTTCACTGGTGGGTGCAGTCACAGCCTTCAAGTATAGGGGTTATGGTGCAAAACATTTATGAATGCCCAAATTGAAGTTTTACAAACATAAAAAGTATGAAAAAAAAGCATTCTTTAACAATGATGATTTATTTTTCACTTGAATTGCTCAGGGAAATAAAAAAGTAAGAAATACATTAAATTTATAACGAAACAAAGTGACAAAGGATGACTCAAAGAGTCAGCATTTCTAGAAAAAATATTTGAGGACACCACAAATACTGGAATTTATTATTGATGCAGACAAAAAGACAAAGTTGAAATTAAGTTAAAAGCAATAAATTGTTATTAACCAGAGTTCCGATAAATATTAATCAGTACAAAAAAAACTGAATGGAAGTTTTGAATATGTCACATGCTCTGAGTATCAACGATTATCCAAACTGGAAAATACGACATTTGAATTGGAGTTATCACTTTCTTGAAGCATAAATATCATCCCATAGTAATTTCATGTAGTTTGATGATAGTTTTTGTCACACCTTAGTAATCACTTTATTGTTCACTTCATTGGTGACAATTTCATTGTATATCCACATTAATTTATGGTAGCTTTTCAACAGTTATTTTTCTTTTATTAGCCATTTTGACATTGATTTTAAAATTCTGATATTTTTTATACATTGTCATCACGACCTACAACATTTAATGTTTGATAACTATGCTAATTTCAAATAAATTTATAGAATGGGCAAATTTCAAAGAGGAATTATTTTTTAAATAAAATATATCTCTTTGAAAAAAAAGTTTTTTTTGATGATAAAATTAAGAATTTAGTATACTTTGGGTTTCTTAAAAGCAATGCAAATTTGGGGAAGATATAGTTCCCCTCTGAGTTTTTAGCGCCCTGCCCTTTCTATGGTCCAGAATGACTCCTTTAAAAGAACAAATATTTATGAGCCATTGATGTCTGACTGTTATGTTCTTATTTCTAACCCTGACCCTAATTCTGTAAAAATATCAATGATTTTTAAAAACAATTTCTTTTTAATTCATACCTTAATGTTACTAAACTAAAAACTAAACTCTCTGGTGCAGGAGCAGATGTTCCGGTTAGGTGGTCAGCCGAAAGCGAAACACCCAGTGTTTAGTTCTCAAGCGTGCTTGGTACTCATTTATCGACCCATTGAAGGAATGAAAAGTTGAGTCAACCTTGTCCAGCCCGAGGATCGAACCCAGGACCTGTGACACGGGAGCGCGAAGCGCTACCACTGAGCCACCGGGCGCCGTCTTAATGTTACAGTAATGTTAATTATATGTTTAAATGTATATATATATATATATATATTTCAGATTTTTTTCCTCATAATGCGTTTTAAAGTCTATAAATTTAAAGACAATTTCAGATGTATAATAAAATTTCCTGGGAGGAACAATTTCTTTAATAGAATAAATAACAGAGACAAGGTGTACTACAAACTAAGAATAAACAGGAAAATCTATAAGAATGTTCAATAGCTAATGAATTTTATTAAAAACGAAATGCGAAAAAGAACTGCCTTCGGTACTTATTTCTGTTATTGTAACCCATAAAATAAAACATTACAAATTTTATTTCTATTCTTAGATTATTTTACTTGATAATTTATAGGGCCTATTGACGAATCTTAGCTAAGTATTTCTGTAATTATTTATATATATAGGGGAAAGTGGGGCAAGACCAGATAACGAATATTCAAAGGCTTGTTGGAGCTGAACTGTTTGACCAAGAAATTGCAAGAGTTAATCAGGAAAAACAGAGGGAAAGTGAGGTAGTACCCAGCCTGACCCCAAGAGCAAAGGTTAATGAAACACAGAATGAATTAACAGAACACAAAGGTTAATGAATTAACAGAACAGTGCCATTATTGGACTAAATGCTTAAACTTTGGTAAGGTGCGAATCCTTAGTAAACCTGTAATGAGATGGACTAAAAATAATTTTTGTAACTGTAATGATCATTAAATAAGGTTAGTTTAAAAACAAAAGAACATTAGAGAGTTGACATAGTAAAACAAACTTATCTATACAAAACAAACTCCATTCTATGGAAAATCAACAACAAAAATAAAGTGTAAAGTTTTTTTTTAGTCCACAGAGTAAATTATTATTTTTTTTTAATGTTTAAACATAGAATTGTTTTTGAAAATAATTAATTTGTATCACTAGAAAATGTAATCAAAAGTTCTAATGATAAAAAATACCATAATTTTATATGACTATGATGATTTATATGGCTATGAGACATGACTATATAATAATTATAATTGTCCCTTACTTCTATCATAAAGTCTTTATTAAGTGATCTGCAAATAACAGCAGGAGCAACAATAACTTTGACATTAATTGGTGATACAATTGGAGTTATCAAAAATCTTTCATCGGGAATTTTTCTATTCTCTGGAATTGCACCGATATTCCATTCTAATGCTGGGTTTTCTCCCATTATTATTGGGCACTTTAAATCCAATTTTCCTTTAACTTCATTATGATGCAAAATATTTGACCCAGATACTGAAAAAATAAATATAATATTATAACTTTAATTGATAAGATTAAAATAAGGAATACCTTTAGCATATTATATAGTACTACCATAAAATAAACTTCCAGTACTGAACAAAAATATTTTCTCATATAATTTTATTTAAGAAAAGTTACCATCCAAATGGATTTAAAAGCTTGAGTGCTTTCACCAAGCATGTTTTTTTAGCAGCTGCAATATGATGCTTTTGAACAATTTCATGATATTACATAATAATTTTTAAAAAATTTTACTACTAAAAATCTGCAAGAAGGTAATAAGAGGTGACAAATTTAAAAAAAAGAATGTTGCTAAAGTTGAATACTTTTAAAAATGGTGACAAAAGGTGAGGAAGGTGACTCACTTCTCAGCCGTTAGGACATAATATGGTTAATATATAGAAGTTTACTTCAGATGTATGTTAATGTAACAATATTAAAAAGGAGATATTTCTGAATCGTGATCTGTCATGCCAACTATAATCCCCAAGGTGCCTAATGGCTTTTAAACTTGTAATTTAAGAAAAAAACACACATAAAGATTGCCTGGGGTCTACAAGTTATACCCTTTTAGTTGGTGGCCTTTTGTAATGTTTTTTTAAAATTTCTTACAGATTGTTGCCTGGAAACTGCCAAGACATCTACTGCAGATCATGTTATGGAAGTCTTCTTATTTTCAAAATAAATACAGAAAAATCTAAATGAAATTTAAAAACCAATCAACTTATAACAATCACTCAATTCAAATGATTGGACTATGTAAAATTTTTAATGAATTAGAAATGATATGAAAAAAAATTACATAATGATATCAAAAGAACATAATGATATGAAGATAACTTACTTGTTCCAATGGCCAGACTATTCACATCTATCTGATACTGTCTGTCTTCAATTACAGCTCCAGGCATACCAATTGTTTTTGAATTCAATGCTGCATTGTATAGTTCAGAATTTAATATAATACGAGGTAAAGGGTTTTCCACTTGTGATGTTAAAGTTGCTGAGTCAAGTTGCAAAAATAAAACTTCGGTTTCATTTAAATCAGTTATTTTATTATTTTTGTTATAATTAATTAAAATATTGTTCTCAGGGAAATAAAACTGCATTATTTTTGTATCAATATAAAAAAGTGGTAAATTATAGCTGCAAAACTCCATACCAATGGTATTCTTATCCATGTTTACATTTTCTGGTTCAGCAGGCTTTACAGGTTCTTCACTATAATGTGGTAAACTCTGTTGTAATGAATCTAATATTGACATCCACAAAATTATGCCAAATGAATTCAGCTTCAAATCAATTTCACTTATATAATCTTTTCCCTCTAAAATTGTTGGAAAATCATGTTTAGGATTAAGAGACCACTTCTTAGATGCACTGGAATGTAATGCTTGAGTGTAAGTAAGGGTTAAAAAGGGCTGTGTGTCTTGCTTTAAATGGGGTAGTTGACCAATATTTGCATGATCGTTGAATGTTTTTGATTTCACTGCTTTAGGCAATATGCTGTTACAAAAGAACACAACACCCTCATATGGACCTGAAATCCAATCATGTGAACTAAACCTAAAAATAATTTCTCAATTATTTAATATGATAGTAAGGAACAATAAGGAGTCATAGCAGTTATTTTAGGTAACATTGATAAGTTTTTCTAGCATCATTTCAAATTTCAGTGTCTGATTTCAGAACTAAAAATATCATCTGCACTTTTTAATTATCATATTTTAAGTCATCTCCTTGAGCAATTAAGATTCAGTTTTAGAGCGTGAAAATCCTATCATTGGATCAAAAGTTAGTCAGGGTGGTCCGTTTTTTTTGCGCACTGTACAGGCTTAGTAAAATAAAATGCAGTGAAACCTGCCAAGTTGACCCCCCTTGTAAGTTGGACACCTGCATAAGTTGATCTCAATTATCTATCCTATTCCTCCTATATAATATAAAGAAGCAAAACCTTTGTAACTTGCCCACCTATCTATCTTGTAGGTTGACCACTGAAATAAGTCAATTTTGTCTAGGAGTATTATGAAATTCTATTCTAAAACCCTCATAAGTTGACCAGGAAAAAAAATTCAGAAAATTTTCTATTATTTTGCAATGTATGTTAAAATTTCACTTGTTTCGTGAAATAGTGTAAAAAGCTAATCTAAACCCTTTTGTGAGTTGACCATCTGGGGAAACTGTAGGGGGTCAGCTTTTGACCATTTCTTTCATTCATTTATTGAAAACAGGTGTAATAGTTGAAAAGTTGCTCTTCCAGTTGCAGTTTTCAAATTATACATGTTTTCGTGTTATGATATTTTAAGAAATTATTTTTATTAAACACTTTACATGCACAACTAACGAAATAATTCTTTTAAAAAAGTTAGTTAAGTATTAGAATTATGTATATGTAACAAATTGAAGTTCATTCAGGTTTAAACACATTTCTTAAGATATTCGTTTGACTATTTGCTAAATAAAATTTTAAAGTCAAGTAAAAATATTTTTAAAATATGATAAAGGAAACGAAAAAGTAAACAATGACCCACCCCCTCTATAAGTTGCCCACTTGTCTAAGTTGACCACTAAAACAATGCAACACAAGTGGTCAACTTACACAAGTTTTACAGTATTATGAAACAGGACTAAAAATCAGTCAATATCTCAAACAAAAGAAATGATCCTTTTTTTTTATTAGAACATGAAGTAGAGTGGTTAATTTTATCTCAGCAACTTATTCTTATCTCAGCAACTTATTCTCTTCAACTTATTAAAGTGAAATTTAAAATAATTATAAGGACTAGATACCCTTGATTATTTATTAAGTCATTAGTTAAAAGAAGCAATATGCTCATAATTATTTCTATTAATCCAAAACACAATGCAATAGTGTATATAAAAGACTAAGGTTAATACATTAAAAAAAATCAAGTAGAGGCATAGAGCAAACATTAAGTACCTTAGCGGTTAAATATTTCAGTTTGAAAAATAATCTAAAAGTGAAGAAAATATTTTGTAGAGTACTTATAAATTTATGTAATTATTTAATTTAAATTTATCAAATTATTTAAAAGAAATTAATCCTAAAAAGAATTAGTTGATTTCTCCTAGAAAAGTCAAAATCAAACAATGTATACAATTAGTCTTTTTTAATACAAAAAATCTACAACTAAAAGAAGCAATAAAACAGTTTTAAATATATAATTGTACAGTGCACCACAAAAGCGTGAGGATCCGATTATTAAATCAAAAGTTATTCTGGGTAGTCCGTTTTTTTGGTGCACTGTAGATCAAGCAAGAAATATTTTCATTACTGTGAATAAAAAAACTTTATAATAAACTGTAAGAAAAACATATTAAAATTTTAAAATGATTTAAAAGGTGTTCTTATAATACATACTAAAACATTTATGATAAAAAAAAAACATTACAAAAACTATGTATGTAACTAATACATTCAGTCAAGGTTGTGAACCTATTTTAAAACAATGAAATTGAAATTCTAAATAATTTGTGTTAACTTATTTGCAATAAATTTAATTGAAAGTAACTGAAATTTAATTGAAAATAATTATTTTCACGTTGGTTTGTATAGTCCAGTGATTCCCAAAATCGTCTATATCGACCCCCAGGGGTCGACGACAACCTGCATGGGGTCCATGCCAAGTGAAAAAAAATTGGGGGTCCATGAAATGAAAATGGGGGTTAACGATACTGAATCTCATATAAGCAGGTCGTGACTTTTAATTTTGGCATTTCATGAATGGAATAATCAACATATGCTGATAATACTTATTTACTTACATTATACTTACCTTATAATATAAAGACATATATCTATCTACATTCTACATAATTTATAAAAGTAGCTTTGAAGCAAAAATTTAATTAAAATTTAAGTTATTAGGATTATTTTTTGATATATGAAACTGAATTTTTATAAACTAGCAGTTGCCTGCAGCTCCGCTCACGTACGCATTTATTTTCTCTGTGTGTAAGGTTTTATTTTGTAACAAAAAAATTGTAGCCTAGCCTGTGTCAACTCTTTAGCTAGCTAGACCTCCAACTTTATCTGCGCACAAGATCACAGAGATTAGTTGCTTAGTTTTTACGTGAAAACATAATAAACAGACAAACAATGCACTTCTACGGTTTTGTATACAAACTTATTTATGCAAGTATAATAGTAGTAGAGGAGTACATATTTATTAAATTAAATTAGTTTGAATTTAATTAATGAATATATGAAATTAACATGCATTTTTTTTAAAGTTCTTCATACTTCTCTTCATTACAGTTAGAAATTTAAATGTTTCACGGTGAGTAGCACTATACAAGCTGTCAAAAATACATTTGAAAAATACATTTACAAAAATTCAATATCAGGTAAGCAGGGGGTCTACCCAAAACTGAAAAACATAGCAAGGGTTCTACGAGACAAAAAAGTTCAGGAACCACTGATAAAGTCTATGTAGTGCTCATGTATTATCTAATTTATTTTTATTCAATTTAATTTTTAACATATTTGCAAGATTAAATACTATTTGTTTCAACTTACAAGATTTTTATCATCTAATCTCTCATTTTCTTTGTTTTGCAAGTTCCAAAAATAAAGTTCTATATTTTTGTTATTGGTGAGGAAGGTCATAGTAACATTTTATTTCATGAATGTTAAGAACTGCAAAAATTTTTCATGTTAATCTTATTTTTTGTAGTTAGTTGTAGTCTAAGAATTAAATTGAATATATTTCATATCAAATTTATATTTCAAGGCAATTCCACCATTTATAAATGGAGAGGCGTTTATTTGCGTCAGCTAGCGGAAAAATAAACAAGTTGAAGTCCAGAGGTAAGAGGATCAAGGAGTGTAGCTTCTGCGACTGATGAGGTATTGATAGGAGAGAGCAGTCTTCTCTCCGCTATTTAAGCAGTTGATTTTTTGACATCGAGGTTGCAGCTTCAGTGAATCTTGTCCCAAAACTTTTTACACGGTGACGCCCACCTTTAGAAGAAATGCTTGCTGTCAACTAGCTTAAGTTTTTTTAAAATTGTTTTTAATAACCAGCTTCTTAAATGTTTAACGAATAACCTTTTGTAGTTTTGTTTGCCGATAGATAGTTAGCTATATTAAAGAAAGATGTTCCAGTTTACTAGTGTTTTTATTGACATCTCTCAAGCCACACTTACCAACAATAAATATCATACTTTCAGAATTTAAATGCATATATTTCAGTTTTTAAAAAATCAAACAGTTCTAATATGTTTTTGTTAAAATACCTCCTGGTGTTATTTAGTTACTCCAATTCTTAACTTTTAGAAATTTTAATATTTTTCAAAATATTAAAAAATTGCTTTACATGAAAATAGATTGTGTTATCCACACAACACCCTTTTAATTTTTTATACAAATGAAAATCCTTAAATTTCAAATGCAATTCCTTAAAGTACAAATTTCACCGAGGGGTATTTTAATTAAATTTATAAAATTGCCAGATCTTTTCTTAACAGAGTGACATGTCTTTAAATTATAAAAATATGACTTTCTTAAATGATTGAATTACCCTTTAGATATGGTAAGATAGAACGTTTCCTGACCTGTTATTAATAATCCAATTATTAATTATTATATCCAATTAAAGATAGATTATAAAATTGAAAACATTGCCAAAATAAAGTTATGAAATGGTGAAATTTTAACTTAATTTCTTAATAGTTGGAAGTATCACATCTAAGCCAAAACCTGTTTCTGAAACTGTATCTCTCTATAACTATTACGGACACAGCTGCATTTTAGAAGTTTCCTTGAAGGAAATAAATCTCTATTGATAACTAAACATTTAATTTTACAAATTTCAGAAGATTTATGACATTAAAAGTAAATCATTTAAAAAACTTACTGCCTTTTAAAACAATTTACATTTAAGGATGACATTTTAACCTTCACTTTACAATAGACTTCTTGGATATCAAGGGAAGAGACAATCTCCTCTGCATCAAACTTCAATTTGAAATCTACAAATAATAATATAGATAATTTTTAAATAATATTTGCTTGATTCATATGAAATTAATACAGTACAGAACCCGTTATCCGGAAATCAAAAAACCGGAACGAAATTCGATAAATTTTCCCGCCATTTATTTAAAAAAATGTTTTTTTCCTCATAAGATTTTAGGATTTTTCATTATTTTTTGAAAGATGTTTACCTTACCATCATTTTGGAAATAATCATTAGTGTATTACTTCATCGTTTTTCTTCTTTTTAAGTATATTTCCAAATATTTTTTTTTAGTTGGGTTTAAGAATAAAAAAAACGGCTTTTTGTAGCAATTCAGAAAACCGGAAAAATCAGTTATCAGAATAGCGATGGTCCTGATCGTCCCGTACAATCGGTTCCCTACCAGTAGAGAACCCGTTATCCGGAAAACCAAAAAACCGGAACGAAATTAGATAAATTTTCCAGCCATTTAAAAAAAAAGATTTCCTCATAAGATTTTAGGATTTTTCTTTCTTTTTTGAAAGATGTTTACCTTACCATCATTTTCAAAATAATAATTAGTGTATTACTTCATTGCTTTTTCTTCTTTTTAAGATTATTTCCAAATATATATATATTTTTTTAGTTGGGTTTAACAATAAAAAAACGGCTTTTTTTGATTCAGAAAACCGGAAAAATCAGTAGCGATGGTTCCGAAAGTTCCGGATAATCGGTTCCCTACAGTATTAAAATAAACACAATTGAATTAAATTTATCTGTAAATAGAAAGCAGAAAAAAGAAGATCTTAATTTGCTTTTATCAAAAGAAAATCTAAATACAGTAAAAATTATGCTTTGAATTCTTTTGCAACGATAAAAGAAAACATAATTTAAAAAAAGTGATTAAAATATAAGAGGCATAATACAATCTTTATTAAATGCTAAAGGCTGCAAAATTCATTTTTTCCGATTAGATTGAATAATTCATTGGAAGGAAGTTCTATATAATGCTACTTTTATAAGAATCAATATTAACATACTTAATCTCTTGGAACTAATTTAAAATGTTCTTTTCACAGGTTTTAAAAATGACTTTTATTTTTGGGGGCAAACCTTGCCCATAGATAAATCATTATTTTATGATAAATCTGTTTTTTTTGTAAATTTACATTATACGAGAGTTCAGGATAGCCTGGTTGGTAGGGCGCTGGGTGCATGTTCAAGAAGTCACTAAGTTTGATCCCTTCCGACATTTTCATTCCCTGCATCATTTTATAGAATGTAATTTTACATGGCAAAATACAGAATTTGAGCAAAATCAGTCGAATAGTTCCTGAGAAATTAAATTACAAAAAAGTCAGAAACTTAAAATTCAATTTCTCCGGAACTATTCAACCAATTTTGCTCAAATTTTGTATTTTGCCATGTAAGTTTACATACCGTATTTTTCAGGAAAAGCGCCGCACATCGATAAAAATGAAATTTTTTGAAAAAAAAAGCTATAGTAAGCGCCGCAATGACGCTAGACCACGGATATCAGTATCCTTATAGAAGAGACCTTTAAATTACCATTTAGAATATCTGTGTAATAAAAAATTAAATTTTCTTATACATTTCATAAAGTAAAGTTTTAATTTCTAAATTATAATAAAAAATTTCTTTTCAGTAAAAAAAAAAGCAACAAAACAATATAAAATGAAGCTATTCTTACCTGTTTAAAAATAAAGTTAAGTACAACAAATAATTCTGAATGTTGAATACAACAAGATATATTAAAATACATCAAGTAACGATATTTCTAAATTATATTTTTTTTTGGGGGGGGGGAGAATAGCCTAAAATGTNACAATTCATTGAAAAGTTCCCTTTTAGCAAAAAAAGCAACAAAATTATATAAAATAAAGTTGTTCTCACCAGTTGGCACCGTGCCAAAAAACAGAAGAGCAAATAATTAACAACAAAAGAATATTTATATGCTCAGTAGCTGAAATAAAGCAGGAGTGATTACAGAAATCCGTAAAACAATGCAATAAGAAAAATAAAATGAAAAAAAAGATTCTAAAATAAAAAGATTTAAAAATTTATTGCAGTTAACAATTTGAGGAAAACTATTAATAACGAAACAACTAATAGTAACGAAATAACTAATAATAAGAAGAATAAGAAATAACTAAGTGCACCCCAAGAAAATTTTGAAGAAGGAATGAGTGAAGGGAAAATAAATTTTACTTTCACAATGCCCTCTCCTTCAATGGAAATATCACAATGTGACTCAACTTATTAGAAAGAGAGAAGAAAATGTTTAAAAGAGGGGTGTAGCCCACCTCCTCCACATGTCATTTCTACTGGAGCTATTTAGGAGTTTGACTTGATAGGATCTGTCGTAGAGTACCTGCCTGCAGTGCGGGCATCTCACTCCTTCATCTGGTCTGTAAAAATAATTGAGACTAATGGCATTGGTAAAGAAGAGATTCGAGTGGTGGCAGTGAAGTCTCTGTAGAATTACAGTTATATCTGAGTTAAAGTCAATTTGTGAGCAGAAGTTAAGTTCATAGTCTGTAAATTTGGGGAGAACACTAGGGAAAACCCTTTAGTCAGTGGTAAAAGTAATTATAAATATGTACAACATTATATATAAGTATGAAAAAATATGAGAATTAATAGTAATATAGATATTTACATTATATGCAAAATGTGTATCTCTGCTAAAACGATGATCCGGTCCTCCCGGTGCTTGACCGCTCGTAACGGGTTGCTCATCGTACTAATTTAATAGATATAGAATAATATAATAATAGCTTGCCCAGATGGGATCCTACAGGGTTGCTCCTTCCCCCGGTTCGCTGTAGGCCTAGTGTAATAACTGTGTTTGGTAGTGTATTGTAAATTATTAAAACTGATAGAGGGGCTATCTGTTTGTCTTGTTAAATTTGCTTGAGAAGATACCGTCCGAGAGAAAGAAGTTTATAATCGGGTTATGATATCTAGCGTCTGGTATTAACTCTTTATCCAGGATCATGTTAAAATCTGCTGTGCTTGAATTTAAGGCGTCTCCATAGAAGCTGCTTAGGAGAAATCAATCAGTTATTTTTAAAGGGGTTGTGGGAAAAAAGGGGATACAGTATGGGACCCCTAACCTGGCATCCCGAAATTCGGCACTTAATCTGATCTAATTTTATTTAATTTTTTTTAAAGAAATTTCTATTGATAAGACAACAAAAAAATCAGCTTTATAGCGTTTTATTTGGAATTTTATTCTGTTGAAGTAAAGTAACATTATCTTTTAAAAATAAAAACAGCTTGAAAAAATAATAAATCTGTGTCAATGGAAACATCTGTTTCTAAAGCAGTTTAAGATAAAGTGAAAAGTAAAAACACCTGCATTTCCAATGAACAAAATAAAGATGCAAGTTGGAAAAAAATGATCAATCAATCTTGACAGTTGTGCTTGTGCCTTACTGGTTTGTCCCCACATTTCCCCCTTCTGTTTGATCATAAATTGGCTACACCCAGTTGACATTGAAACTACCATGTGGACTACAAAATGAATTTTATCCCTTTTCGGTTTTTAATTCGATTCATGAATTTTTTATTTTGCCGCTTTTTTATTAGTTATTAACTGTTAAATTATTATTATTTTTTTTTCTTGTTATTAGTTGTTTGCTTGTTTTTTGTTGTTATTCATTGTTAGTTTCTTAGCATTATTTGTTACTTTTCTTTTGTAGTTTCCTAGTTAGCTTTTTTCTTCTTGTGAGGTGAGCGTCTTTTGTTAAAACAAAATGTTTCAAAGAAAAAACGAGATTTATGATCTCGCTCCGAAGAAGAAACGATTATTTCTTATTCCGAGGATTCGGATCATTTCTTGAATTATTTCTCCTTTAAATTATTTCTTTGCAATTATAATATTATATAGATTATTATCTTAATTAATAAAATTTCTTAAGATAGGCCAGTTTTAAATTCACCCCATCATAATCTACGATCGAAACTTGACTAAATTTATTGGTTTTTCTGAAATTAGCAGTGTAATTTAATTATAGTTATATTTGGGTGCCATATTGGAATTTCCGAAAGAGATCCGAAGTTCAGCATTTTGTCAGTCCCGTGAGTGCCGGATTTGGGGTTCTATAACTTCTTTTTCTGTTCACTCCAATTACAATTGCCAAGGCGCTAAGTAGATTTCTAGCTTGCGATTTTTTTTAAGCTGGGGGTGGATACAAGATGCATACCTTTTAAATTTTCCCCTTATGCGATGGTTTTTTTAAATTATTATTTCGTTTATTTATTTTCTTGCAGGCTGCTGCCGAAAGTTTGCTAAGAATTGGCAATTATTCTGCAGCAAATTGCAATACGGGCGAATATTTCTCGACTGCGTTATAAATTTTTGTTAATAGTCTTTTTTCAGAAAATTAGTTCATCTTAAATAACTTTCCTTGAAAAATTTTTTTGCTACTAAAAATTATTTCGTCAGAAGCCCGCATGTAGGAATATATTTTTTTTATAGCGCCATGGCGCTTTTGCCGAAAAATATGGTACTTTAAAATGATGCAAAAAATTTTATATCTAATATTTCAAAGTTTTTTGACCATTATTAAATGAAGTAATAAAAATTATCAAATATTTACTAAAAATTGTTTTTTGCATTGAATTATCTCTGGATAAGCGAATTTTATAATTGCATGCAAAAATTTTTTAATTTGCTTACAAATTTTACAAGATATGGCGAAATACACGAAAAGTAAAATTAACATTAAGGGGTTCAAACTTTGGAAAGCTCTTCTGGCTAAACAATTGGGACCATATTTGTAACTTAAGATATCGTCTGCATTAATTAATTGGTAAGTTTGAGGACATGCCCTTGAGCCATTAAAATCAAGTCCTAGAACGTGAAAATCCGATCATTAGATCAAAAGTTATTCAGAGTAGTACGTTTTGGTTTTGACACTGTATATATGCAAATCTACAGTTAGGTGGAAAAAACTGACTAACAGGTGTTTTCATACATTTATGGACCTTACTTTTTGACAAGGAATACATGCTCTACACCAATTTACTATATCTTTATTTTGACTAGAACAAAAATACCTGCAAACAAGTAAGATTTACTAGCTCTTATTACTGGATGTGACATTTTATACATGTTATCAAATATCTTTTTTCTATGTTCATTAGGTAGATAGAACTAATTTTAACCTTCACTTGTGCTACAATACAAAGATACATTAGAATCAGGCATTTTTACTTTAGATAAAGTTTTAGAAAACTTAGTGATGCCTTTCAAAATATCATTTGATTTAGGATCAGAATTTTGACTTACTCTCCCATAACTTTAAGTCAGCCAGTGATGAAAAACGAATTTCATTAATTCGAGACAAGCTATTGGCAACCACCTTTTTTTTATCAGACAAATAACAAATATCTGCAGTAAATGGTGAAATAAAATCTAATTGGAAAATAAAATCTAATTAACTCCGTGAGCACTTAGATTATTCTGCCTAACTACAAAAGTCATGAGTGTATAGTTAGCAAATAATAAAAATGAACAAGTTTCTAACATTTGACGAAAATATTGTATTGCCCAATATGGCATCAGAAGCTCATAATCATAAGTCGGATATTTAGATTGTGTGGGAGTATTGTGTGTAAGAAGTTTTCTTTGAGGAAAAAAGCCTAAAGGTTTTGGTTCATCTGGAGTTACTTCATTAAAAACTTCTCCATAGCAAAATCGTTACAGTCTGAAACTAAATCTTATTTCCCATCAGCTGATAGATGACATCATAAAGTTGCATTAGCAAAACAATTTTTGACTTCATAAAAACTATTATCATATTTAGTATTCCACTCAATTTCAGTTTTATACTTCTTATTAAAGCTTTCCCAAAAGGCGTAGAAAGTTTTCAGCCCTGTAAGATATCATACATACTCAGTTCAATATGAAATTAAATTTTTAAAGAGAATTTAACAATGAGTCAGTAAAGAAAGATTGAGAGTTATAAATTTAATAATTTATTTATCCTTCTAATGATATTGCATGCAAAAAGCATATTTTGATCAATTTTCTCTGCATATTGAACCAGTTTTTGTGTCATTAAGTAAGAAAAGTACACGGGGAAACTCTGTTAAATTTGTCACTTAGCATAATAGTAAAAGGAATACAATTGACATAATTCTACACATACATAACAAGAAGTCATGTTTCTCAAAGCTAAGCTCGGAATTTCTTTTACAGTCAAAAATTAAAATAAGTACAACCAACCATCATTAAAATTAAAAATAAGATTGGAAATATAAATTGAGGGAAATTAATTTTCTATCTGCTTAGATAGGATTTTAAATTGTAGAAGTTTTTTTAATAGTTTAAAAGTATTATAAGACGTTGGCATTCTTCTTATATGAATTATTTTTAAAAATCTGCGTAAAACACATTTCAGGTATAGAAAATAAAGTATCTTTACTTAAAATAGTTCATGCTTACCTAAGTGGTTTGAACTGTGCTTTAACTTCGTTAGAAGAATTATAGTAAGCTTAGAAAGAGTTAGCTGAGCCCATAAGGTTAACTTCTTAGATTGTTTTGTCTCTTGAATAACTAATAATGAAGCTTCATCAGGTATCGACTGCTTAGAATGACTGTTACTTTTAGGAACAACACAAACATTTAATAATTCACGTTGATACAAATTAGAAGGAAGTAAATGAAAATTAGAACTCCATGAATTAATTTTTTTAACGAAGTTTAATGTAGATGTAACCACTTGGAAAATCTGTACCAAATGTTCAGACTGAAAAAAAAAAGATATCAAATGAAAATTTATGTAATTCTGGAAGAAAAAAAGTTTTAGAAATTTTATTAATCACAGAATGCAGTATCTACAATCAGCATTATAGAATACATATACACTAAAGCACTATTTATATATATGTTGTCTCATTACAGTTCTAATTCATTTTTAATCTATGAATTAGAACTGTAACGTTAAAATTGTTCATTTATGTGAAGGAAAAAAATTGTTTAGACGCCACTTTTTTACATTGTTTATTTATTTATTTGAAGCATGTAAATATTTGGCCAGAATTCAAGAAGTTATAAGCAAGTCTCTGAAAATGCATTTTCCCCTCAATTTCTGCAGAGAGATTTTCTTAAAAAGGGTAGGAGTAAAGAATATGCGTTGGTCATTTCAGGGTCACTAAACAGTTTCCTGAAAAGAAATGACAGATTTGGAGGATCAGTTCTGATAAGAAACTTTGCATTTTTTCTTTAAAAAGAACTTTGCTCTTGAATTCACATATCTCTCAGCACAGCGTTTAGAGATATTCTTTCAAATCAAAAAATATTTCGGAAGCCTTAAACAATTTTATTGAAAGATAAATGTAACATGTTTTCAATTTTAATTGCTGTCCTCTATTGTTTTCTTGATTAATAATATAAAGTGCTAAATTAAAAATGCAACCAAAATTATTAGTTTTACAATCTTATCAATTTGTTTGATTTTCAATGTTTTGTTTCATGTCAATTTACATTGGTCCTTTGTAAGACCTATAAATAGTACTTTACTAAATCAGTAATAAATGGCTTAATTAAGATAACACCACTATATAAAAAGCACTGATTAAATAAGAAATCTTTTTTTCATGTGTTTAGAGGTTTAATATGTGTATAATTAATATGTAGGTTAAATTTTTAAAAAATAATTATTTTGTTAGAAGATTTATGGCCTCAAAATAGAAGATTTGGAGCCTTATGTGAGTAAAAAAAAAATACCCCGTGATACATTCTTTTAAGTTGAATGTTTATTTCTACCGTTATTGGTTAGAAATTCATAAAACTATTTCGATATGATTAATAGTCTTAAGTACTAAAATTACTTTAATGTATATTAAATCAATTCACCTCATAAAAGCTGTTTATTAATAAATATATTCATAAAAATTAAATTTTTTTTTTGTCTTAGCTTTTTGTAATAGTTGAAAAAGTAATGTGAAAGTTTTTTGAAATTTAATAGTTAGATAGTTTCCGCTTTTAAATTAAACAATTTTATCTCTAAATGCAGTATTTTTAATATTTTTTTATATTTTCATTCATTTAAATGAAAAATTACAAAACTGATTTTTTATAGTTTCTTATATACTTATGAAAAAATTTTCAAATATATTTTAATATTATGGGAGCTATACTTTTACTCTTGCATTTCGTAAAATAAAACATTCCGCGAACAACAACATTCAAGAAAACCATGAAATCCACAGCAATAGCTGTCAAATAAAGAGAGGGACAACAAAATCATTCAAAATGGACACAATTTTAATTCAACAAAATAAAAAAGATGAAACTAATATACCAGATTGATTTAAGATTTTTTTACAAATTTAATGTATAAATAAAAACGCCACTCATCGATGGTGTCCCTCAGTTTTACATCACTCAAAAATTAACCTTATTATGCCATATTTCATTAAAGCATAAGTTCAAAAAGAGGGGAAAAATACACTTTTAGGAGCAAACAATCTTTTAAATGCTTGCAATTTTGAAATTGTTTTGATACTATAAATTTTACAAATTTGACTTTGTCACAGTAAATTAGTAAAGCAATTTTCTCCCTAGCTATTCATTTTAAATTTCTTCTTAGAATCTCAAGTTTTTTTTAGTTAAGCCGAAGCTGTGTTTTGCTCTTGCAAATCTGGGTAAAAGTCTTACAATAATGCGTGAATGAGAGCTCTGGTGGAAAAGAAAGGGAGTTGCTGCTAAGAGAAGAATAAAGGTCTAGCGAATTAAATTTTGTTAAAGTTCCGAAGTTTAAATTTTAGTTATGCAGAATTCCATGAAAATTTTAAATCCCACAAAAAATCCCATTTCAGAAAAGGTGTATAATCAAACATTTCAAAACACAGTTTCACAAATTATAATATCATGATTAAATGAATTTCAAGTCAAAATAAAGATAAATTACTCTCATTTAAAGACTTAAAATAAAATTTAGAGCTTATTTGAAGTAGTAATTAAACAAAAATATGTAGTTCTGTAAATATGTAATAAAGATAATATTTACTAACATGAAAGGAAGACACATTGAGATGGAGTATTTTGCAATCCATATGAACACAAAATGCAAGTTGGTTTTGCTTATTTTTTTGAGATAAAGCAATAGTGGATAAGAAACTGACAGGCCAAAGAAAGACTGTTTCATCATTCATTTTTTTTTCTCTGTAAATTGAATAAATACTCCAATTGTTTATTTCTAATGTCCAAGGAAATAACTCTTCACCTAAAAAATGAAATTTATAGATTAAAGTATTAAATTTTTATTATGACTTTAATATAAATGTTTTAATACAGTATGATTTGTAAAATTAAATAAATTCTAATCTGTCTGATAATTTTATATGTTAGTATTGCGCTTGATGCTATCTCGATAACCAAAGATGAAGAATAAATGTACATATGACTGTTTATAAAATAAATTTTGCATTAATATTCTTAAAATTCATGTTAACTCTTCGCAATTTCTTTGAATTTCAAGCATTTATGAAAATATAAGAATTCTATTTGTGAAAAAATTTATTTCTTTTAAACTTACAAATTGGTGCACAGAGTGGCCACTCTCCAGACCAAAGAAAATTCCCTGAGTTTTCCAGACTTTCCAGAGTAAATTTCTAAAATTCCAGATACCACAACGCAACATTAACGAGCCTTCACAAATTTATTAGCTATACAACAATATACAGTAAATAATATATATATATATATATATATACAGCTGTGTTGCATTTAAAATGTGTTGTATGAAATTCTTTTACAAATGTGGATACACATTTACAAGATCTGATGACACATTAAAATGAGGAAAAAAGTGTAAATGTTCTCTGATAAAACAGGTGTAAAAAGTTAGGCATTTCTAGCACCAAAAATTATATATCAATACACATATTTCTGCTAAAAATACAGATTATTGAAATAGCAGCCATAAAATTTACATATAAAAAAATAACTGCTGCATACTCAACCATAAAAATAAACTTAAAAATTAATAATAGTTTATAAAAATAAAAATCTACATTTCAAGGAATTTTAGAAACTTTATTTTGTATAAAATTAAAAGTTGTTATATAAATAGCTTATTACACAAATTGGTCAACTCCATCAAACTAAAAATTTAGAATTGAGATCAAAATTACTTGTGAAATAAATTATCAATAAATGAAAAGCCAAAAATATTTAGTCATATAATGTTGTTCATTTATATTATATAGGAAACTTATTTTAAATATAAATATAAAAAATATACCTATATATATATTAATATATTCTTTGACACTTAAGTTTGAGATGTTTTAAAAAGTGGAGTTAATCAAATTGTACAGTATAAATAGCTCAACAAGTGAATAATTGAAAGCTTTTAAAAATTAATTTCTTATAGCTCTTAATTGTTCATCAATTAAAAAAGTTTCTAAATAAAAATCAGCCGTTAATTTTTGTTTTTTAGCATGCAATTCTTTTTTTAATTTTTCATTTTGCCTCTTTTCTAACATAACTTTCTTTTTTTCTTCTGTTGCCTCCTTCCTTTTTTTCATATACTTCGATATAACATGTGTGAGACTGTTTTCCGTAGTTTATCATGGATTTCGTCACAGTTATATTGTTAACATCACCAGCATCCATAACACCATCATGAATTTGCCTTAGAGCAACTAAACTATCTTCATGTTGATTTTCTATTAAACAATCTGAATTAATAGAAAAGCCCCTTTCTATAAAAGCACTTCGTGTGACAATATGAGGAGAAGCTTAACAAAGGAACGTAAATTTTCTGGTGCATTGCAAACTTCAAATAGAGAGAAGAAAACATTATCCAGTCGTTTTTCCCTCTTCTCAAATTGCTCCATTTCTTTCTTAACTAGAGGATTCCGAATGAACGTTTTGTAACTATCTTTCACACTGTCAGCCTTGATACCTGATATCCAATTGCTAGATACCAACATTGAAAGGCAAGATGAAAGCCGTTTTTCAGCAATTGCTGTATTTAAAATTACACCAGGATCAAGACAAGATAGCCCCCTTGTTAACTGGAATTTTAAAGGTGATCTTTCTAAAATCTTTTCACAGAATTTTTTATAAGCAATTGCACATTCTTTCCTAAATGAAAATTCTTCAGAAGGTGAAGAATCTTTTATTTTCCTAATTTCATCCTTAACTGCAAAACTGAGAGCAACTTCGTTGATTGGAAGCATATTATCTGCCAATGACAAATCTATTTTTCCTAATTTTGAAGAGTTCTCCACTAAAATATCGGGTTTTACAAATTTATCAAGAAGAGATCTTAAAATTGATGTTAAATTAGAGAAAAGTAAAGGAGCTAATGGAGCATCACTCTGAAATTCTGCGAGAAATGTTTCAATAAAAGCAGCTAATGACTGGAAAAATGCCAATTTTGCAGCAAAGAAACTGCCTTTGATACACCCCCGAGAGTACTCTGAAATTTTTTGAGCCAACATAGATTTTTTTCTCCTTCTTTGCTGCTTTTACAAATTCGAAAACATGGGGCAACATTTCTAATGCCCTCTCAGCAACTTCTACATTTTGAACCCATCGGATAGCACAAAATTTCTTTGGAAATTTTTCACATCCAGTGAAATATATGAAATCAGCTCTATGTGATGGTACATCTTTAAAAATGTAGTATAGCGCCCATAAAAAGTCCACTACATTCCACCTTGTAGACTTTATTGCATGTTTAAACCCACAATGGATTGTATGCAGTCCACAGCTACCTATATCTAACAGCACAGGATCTTGCAGCATTTCCTCAAGTTCTTTTTTAAGATCATTAAGAAATTTATGGTTGACATTAGGTCCATCCATAAATATTTGAATTATTTTATTTTTATTGATGGAAAATTGGGTAAGGGCTTCTTTGAAATTATCCAACAAATCCATTGCTGTTGAATGACCAAGAAATATTGATGTCAAATATCGTGTCTGGACTTTATTTGTATCTTTATTCCAAAGTCGAACACTTACGTCCATTTGTTGTTTCTGAGCGATTTTATTTAGACTTTCATCAAAGCCCATAACTAAATAATCATAGCTAGCTATGGTTTTTTGTAATTGCTCCCTATAATCAGGCATGAAAGTGGACAAATATAAAAAAAGCTGAACTTTTACAACGCAGGTCACTGGGAGGAGGGGAGGGAGTGCTCTATATGATACTGAGATTTATAAAAGCAAATTTTAACTATGCTGGGAGATTTTTATTCAATATTTAAAGTGGCAGAAGCATTTAGACAGTTAACTTTAAATTTTTCTTAAATATAATTTTAAAATTTTGACCACTAATATATTAAAAAAAATTAAGCAATTATAGGAAGGCACGACTATTAAATTACTTACTAATTAAAAATATATCACATCTTTACAGTAACTAATTCAAGAGAAAACTTACTTCTACTTCTTTCAAGAATCTTGATATTGGATTTCAAAATCGCATGAATATGAATTGCGATTTTGGATTTCAAAATCGCGTGAATATGAATCGCGATTTTGGATTTCAAAATCGCGTGATAATGAATCACGATTTTGGATTTTAAAATCGCGTGAATATGAATCGTGCTGTTGGATTTTAAAATTGCGTGAATATGAATCGCGATTTTGGATTTTAAAATCGCGTGAATATGAATCACGATTTTGGATTTTAAAATCGCGTAATTATGAATCGTGCGGATGGATTTTAAAATCACGTGAATAGGAATCGCTATTTTGGATTTTAAAATCCCGTGAATATGAATCGAGCTGTTGGATACACGAAAATACAAATTGCGATATTGAATTTTTAAGCCGCGTAAATAAGAATCACGATGCATAATTTTAAGATCACGTATACGAATCGCAGTAAGTAATTTTTAAATAGCGTACAAATACGAAAAACGATATCTGATATTACAACTGCGTGATAACGAATCGCAAAATTGGATTTAAAAATGCGTGAATGCGAATCGCGACATTGGATTTTAAACTCACAAGAATACAAATCGCAATATTGGGTTTTAAAAACGCTTAAATACAAATCGCGATATTGATTTTTAAATTGAGTGAATAGGAATTGCTAGTACGATTTTTAAATCGCGTAATTAAAATTGTAACACGTAAGTTTTAAATCAGTTAAATACGAAAATCGACGATTGATATTAAAATCGGCTGATTAAAAATCGCGATTTTAGCAGATTCCAGTGCAGTTCTCAATATTTAAAATTCCGAAAATCAGTCAAACAAAAAAATCAAATATCGGCGGTAGAAACGAAACGCTTAGACTCCTTTCCACTCTATAGCGGAAGTCGCAGTAATCCGACTATCGTTCGGGCGGCTTGGGTTTCTCGAATAGGACTTCCCAAAAATTTTAGTTTCTGGAACATGGTCGGAAATTTTCAAAATTGGGAGAAAAAAAGCGATTTCCGCTTTTTCGCGGGGACACGAAGCGTTCATAGAAGGATAATCACGTGATGCTTGATCGCAATGAAGCAGATGCGTTTCGCTCCGAAAAACTAAACATAACGGAATGGGAAGAAAAGAGCGGCGACGCGCGACAAAATTATTTTCCAGAATCGACGTGAAATTCCCTAAGAATTCCCGGTTTTCCAGTGGTATTTCAAAATTCTTTGAGAATTCCCGGTTTCCAGAGTGAGTGGGCACCCTCGTGTACCTCATAAACAAAACAAATAAAATTTAAAAAAAACACTGTGTTTCTGTTTGAATACCATTTATGAATTGAAAGTAGAAATTTTAACTGTTTCATATATATGGCATTGCCCTTTTTGGTAACTTTGTCATGGCTGTCCATTTATTAATCTCATACTGTATTTAAGTGAAATATGGGATTAAACATTTAAAGTGAATGGGGAGATCATGCACAGTATCACTATGATATAGCTTTACATTGCTCCAACCATAAAATGATGGATAAGAAAAAAGAACAATGCCACCGATCATATCTCAATATTTGCATTAAAAGCTGATACTTGAGCTCAATAAAATATTTATTTATTTTTGTACTTATGAAAGAAAATGATATTTGCATGTAAGCATATTTGAGTGCATTTTACAAGTTCTTATGGCATTACTGATGAAAAACACACTCAAAGTAACAAGTATGCTTGGAGCCATGACTTTGACTAAACAATTTCAATGGAACCGGTTTAGAGTTCATGTTAAAAATACCTATTACTGATTAAAATAATAGACCAGTCATTACCATACAAATTTTCATGGAGAAGATTATTTGTATTACACAAGATGAGCCAATCTTTTCTATTTTTATATTAAATCATCAAATTTAAAAAAAGCAAGTGGAATATTTATGTTTTTTTCTAGACTGTAAAAAAATATTGCTTGAAAAATGCACTATAATAACAACATTCCAAAATTTTTTTGAAAATGGCGAAGAAATAAAATCACAAATCAGTTTTAATAAAATCATGAAAACTTTATGGAAAAAATTATTATTATAAGCTTTGTTGTTTGATTAATATATAAATAATCTTAGTATACTTTTATGGTATTTTAGTATAACTTTTAGAATATTTAAGTCTGAAGGAAGTTAAATTATTTAGTAAACTTTCCCAAAATAGTGTTACCATTATTTATTATATATTTAAGTTAATATTGAAAATGTATAAATGTATAGAAAAAAATTCACAAAATAAAACCACTCCATCACTTAAAACGAAACAAACAAAAAAATTTAACTTTGGGGAAAAATAATATTCTTTTTAAATATATGCACCAACTTTCAATTTAATTTTTTAAAGTAGATGAAAGAGATAACATGTTTTATAAATTCATAGGAAAACAGAAATTATAATGAAAGAAATAAAAGAAAAAAAGAATTGAACATAAAAAAAAATTGAAGGTTGAAGTTTAGCAACTGAATTAAGTGCAACATATAAAGATAATATATTTTCAATATCCTAAAAAAGAGAGTCCAAAGAAAATATTTAAAACAATTAATAAAAAACAAAAATGTACACCAATTACTAATAACTAATTAAAAATAAACTAAGTTCGATAAAATAAAAACACTAATTATAAATAAACACTAATTACATTTCTTATCAGTCTGAAATCCAGAAATTGCAGAATTTGTAAGTGAGAAATTCACGTTCTGTAAAAAATTGCTAATAAAATTATTATTTTTCATTTTAATTTGAGGGAAACTAAATATGCAAGCTCCATCTAAGTTGCCTTCAAGTAAAGATCGCTGCCATGTTAACAAGGTTGAAAGATCCTCCTCTGGCACAATTGACCAATTTGATTGAGGTAAAAGAACACAAAGGCATCCAATATCAACCTAAAAAATTATAATAGAAGTGTTCTAAATGCAATATTTTATTTCTGCTATTCTGTACTTGCTAAATTATATTTTATAGTAAAACCACTTTGTAATGGGAAATTAAAAATGTAAGAAAACTAAAATTCTTCATTTTTCTTAAAACACACAATATAAGAAAATCATATGTATGATTTCATATAAGAAATAAGGTAAATTAACAAAAATATTATCATTGTAATATGATAAAATTTTTAAAACTGATTGAAACAATAAATTATAAAAGTTTTTCGATCATTGACACAAAAAATAAGTGAATGTATAGGGAATAATTTTAACTTAAATAATTACGGAATATGAAAATTGTTATAAGAAAATAATAACTATAATAACAACTGAAGTCTAACAAGTCTATTTCTTAAACAATGGTTTAGTTATTTATTGTACAGTAGTGGTGGAGAATCAATTTATAGTAATGCTTGAGATGTTGTTTGCTTCATTGTTTTTTGGCATTTAGTCGGCAGCTTTGCCATTATGTGCAATATCGATTTTATGTGATGCCAGGAGATTTTAAGCGTTAACTCTTGACGTGTTTTGTTAAATTGTGGTTCAGCCAATATATGTCTATTCCAGAGTTAAGATTTTTTAAAAACAATTTAAATACTCTATTAAAATATAAAATCAAACATTTTTAAAATTCACAATTTTCAAACTAATTTCTTTAGAATTTGGGTTCGTTTCATTTTATCTAAGCTGGCTGCTCTTATATGTTTGTTTGATGGCAGATAATCGGAGAACCACTGATTTTTCTAGCACACGAGAAAAAATAAAGAATTTTTCTCTTCCCTGCCTCCCTCCTGACCTAAAGATTTTAAAGGTTAAGAAAGAAATGTTTAAGTTTTCTTTCTATACAGGGGGGGGGGCATCCCCATCTTTTGTGGTGACAATCTGGGTAAAGCATAGTGGGATAATGGACAAATTTAGTACCAATGCATTTGACAACTATGACCTATCCCAAACCATCACCAACACATACAAATAAAGTAAGATAAAAATATATGTCTAGAAATAATGATGACAAGGGAGAAAATTTACTTAAGCAATTTTAATGATGATTAACTTAATTATCAAGATTTACTCATTATAATAAATTTTGACCATGTGGCATAATAAAATAAGGTAATAACAAATTACAACGAAACTAAATCAACATGTGACAAACAGATTTAGAGTTACCACTTAAAGAAAAGGAATTGCTTTGCTAACGTCAATTGAATTTAAAGTCACTTATCTTGCACATGTGCTTGACTTGGCTTGAAATCTTAAGGAACAGAGACACCATTTGTAGGTATCAGGTTTGTTTCATATGGATCTATACAGTGTAACGTCCCATATCCGGACGTCCCTTTTCCGGAGGGATCGATTTCCCGGACACTTTTTAACAATCAAAATAAATAAACATCTCTTCATCTTCCCCTTTCTTAAAAGAAAAGTCTTTTGACACGTTTTCTCTTCTAGCTTGCACTGAACCCAATTTATGCATTGAACCCATAAACCACAAAGAGGAAGAGAAGATCTACCAAGACCATTAAGTGACCATTAGTGACGCTCCTACTCTGGAATGCAGGAAAAGAGGGAGATTTGTTTCAAAAGACTCCAACTGAGTCCCCTCCCCCCTCCTTGCCTATGCAGCTGGCTAGTAAAAGAGGCATTTCTTGGAACCTTTTTATTGAAAGAAAAGGGTAAACGAGGCAAGCGTTAACGTGGAGGGGAAGTCAGAATGGAAAATTTGAATAGGTCTAAAAGAATACACGTCCTTGAGAAACATTCATTCTTCCCCTGATCATGTAATATTTAGGAGGCGGGGAAAAAAGGGGGTAGCATTCTTTCTTCAGCAGATTCTTTCAGTCATACAAGAAAAAATAAAGAAAATCCCATCAGCGTGCCCCGCCTTTATGCTTGATTGATCGCCAATGATTGGAGAGAATACAATAATTTGTCACTTCCCTGCCCTCAACTTGAATGATCTTTGAACACTTATTTTCTTTCACAAATAAGGAGGAAATGAATTTTTCTCCTCCACCTACCCACCTTAATGAATGACGGGAATTTCCCTTTCTTGCTTGAATCGTTCTGGTTAAAAATGGCGGATTATTATTTTCATAACTGTCCAATTTTTTTCGTTTTCTATATTTTAAGCTATTTTTTTCCCTTCTAATATTTCATATTTGATTGATTGGATAATCTAATATTAAAACGTTATTCCCCTTAAAAATAATGTTTATTTATTTTTTGCTTCTTAGATTTAGATAATTTTAGCTTTGTTCCAGAACGACGTGAAATTCCCCTTCCTGCTTGAATCGTTCTAGCTCAAAATGGCGGATCAATATTTCTATAACTGTCAAATTTTGTTGTTTTCTATATTTTCAGCAATAATATTTTTTTTCTAATACATATTTTATATTTGATTGATTAGATATTCTAATACTAAAACATTATTCCCCTTAAAAATAATTTTTATTTATTTTCTGTTTCTTATATTCAGATCATTCATTAGATCATTTTGAGCTTTGTTTACCTTGGGGGTCTATTATACGGACTTCTGGAAGTTCCACCGATTCCGGATATGCGACTTTACACTGTATATCCATTGGTCAGTCCTGTTGCAGCAATTGTTTCAAGGTTGATTAATATTTTGCTTCAGAACTTGTATCAAAACATCTTCTTTTTCTAATCAGATTCCACTCAGCTCTCCAGGTCTTAGCCCTCTCTTTTTCACCTCTGTCCTGCCTATCTTTTCAGGTTTCTTCTCCTTACCCCAAAATTGGCAGACCAAAACTGCTTATTTTATTCATAGAGAGGTTATCTCAAACAGTCAAACAGTTTGGGCAGAAATAGGCTGACTGATACTCATAAAAAGGAAAGGTTGTAGCAACAATACACTTTCCTTATAGTGAATTTCGGATGACACAATCATTTTAGTTGAAAAACGCAGGCAAGTGAACAAAACTGTTCCTGGTTTCTTAGTTACCGGATAAAAAGTTTTGTACTGAAGTATTAGTCGTAACAATATTTGAAGCTTCGTTACAATATAGAAAGCAATGAATTCCCATCTAAGTGAAAATTTTTTTGGGATTATTAACTTATTTTTTTAATGTTTGTTGTTATAATTCTTTAAATTACCTTAAAATATTGTTAAAATCTAGCTATTCTTTTGTCTTGTTAAGTCATCAAAAATTTAAAAGTCAATGTGATTTAAAGAACACACTTTTTAAAAGCAATTTTATAAAATAAAATTAATGTTTTTTTGTATGATTTAATAGTTCATACTTACTTCAACAAGTAGATACGAAAAATTGGAACTATGTTTAGCAAAAATACTTTCCACGTATTCACGAAAACTTATTTCCTTTGCTTTATCAAATACAGCAAAATTTGATTTACTAAATGAAAGACTGGCAGAAGGTTCATGAGTTAAGCTGCTACAAGTTGAAGCCTCTATGAAATAATAAAAATAATTCATTTAACATCATATTACATAGGACTAATGTTAGTAAAGTTAGTACTAGAGAAATCAATATTAGGGTTGATAGAACATGATGAAACAACTCTTTTTTTCAAAATACATAGTGATTATGCACCTTAACTGGGAAATTGGCTGAGAAAAAATACAATTAAATCCTCTGTTGGAAATAAAATGAGTTAAGTTAATCTAATCAAATTTCGATTAGATTACATAAAAGAATAAAATTCATTTAATTTTTCTGATGCTTCTTACACTATTGTTTGAATGAGTTGAGAATGAGGTTATGTCTTTGTAATATTTTCATATTAAGAGTTAGTTCTATGTATTTTGCCGCTTCATGTGCCGGTAATAAAACTTTTAAATTTTTTTTCAAATTTTCCATTTTAATCTCACTATGTGTATGCACAGTCAGCAAAAAAAGAATATAACCCTAAATAACTTTCGTTCTGATGATCGGATTTTCACGTACTAAGTGTTAATCTTAATGGTTCCTGAGGGTGACCTCAAATATGCAAATTATTTAGAGTTAACTATTTATTAAGTTACGAAATCGGACACAAAAACGTACTTTCCTTGAATTAACATATTTTTTCACATATTTAGATTCTTAACCTTCAAAATATAGGGGGTAGCCCTAATCTTCAAAATATGGTTTCAATAGTTTGGTCAGGAGAGCGATTTAAAGTGTGGTATCCTTAATTATAATTTTACTTTCTGCATTTTAAGTCAAATTTTCAAAACTAATTAAGCAATTAAAAAAAAAAATTTCACCCACTTATAAAACCCATTTACACAAAGATAATTTCATGCAAAAATAATTTTTAATAATTATTTATAATTTTTCCTTATTTAATCTAATTGTGGATGAAAAAACTTCCAATTATGAGGTATAAATTTTTTTATACCATAATCTACATATTTTTCCATTACAAAATTTAAAGTTTCAGCAGTTTTTATTTGGTAGAAGCTGAGAAAATTAAAATTAATTATTTTTAAGAAAATAATTTGGCGATAATGAAAAAAATATTTACAAGGTGCGGTTAATATTTAAATGGGGTTAACTCATGAAGAACTTTACTTACGCGCACATGAGTAAAGTTTCATTAATATTTTTTTCGCTAATAACCATTGCTAATCCTTTTTTTAAAATTATAATATACGATATTTCTTTTTTAGTCATCTAAAAATTTATTCATAATTTAATAAAGAGATATGAATAAAACATATGGAATAAAAACATTTTATTCAACGAATGTTGAGCGTTATAAAAGCATGTTTCTGATAGAACATCATTACACACCAGTTTTTTTAATTTTATTTTTTCGTTTGTTCTTTCAATATGTGATACAATTCCAATAATAAACAAACCTATGCATATATTTGGAATAATATGTTTATCAATTTCTTCAATGTATTTTTTATAATACATATACCAATATATATTTTAATGTTGATTAATAGGAATACGTAGACAACATCTTAAAATTTCTTAACATCTCATACATCATCTTAATCTTAAAATAAATTTGTTAATTACCTGTCCACGGTTTGGTAGAATTATTTTACCAACTATTTAATTAAATTTTAACAGTCCTTAAAATCTTGTCCTTTACTCTACCACGTATACTATTTTGCCATTAACATACTAATCAATTGTTCTAGTACTTTAATTTGTGTTTTCCTTTAAAGTAAAATACATTTTTAAATTATTTTAAAGTTTTTATTGAAAGAAAACTTTAGAATTATTTCCAGCTAGCTGAGAATTACATCTTGCTAAGAAATTTAAAATATTTTGTTGATACAAATTATTCGATGCAAAACAGCTGACTATTTACAAAGCATATTATTTTTTTGTAAAATGAAGATAATGTAATAAATTATTAAATGTCTTTTTTTATCGTTTTTTATTTAATTGAGTAATGAAAAGTAAATGCATATGTGTGCACAACAAAAAATACAACAGTTTGCTTTGCTTTTTAAATTAGCAAAAAATTATGGACATAGAATTTTATTTTGATGTTCAAAGTTATTCTTGTCCTCTAACTTCAAGAAAGTTGCTCTTTTAAAAAGGATAATGTTAAAAAAAATTGCTTAAAAAAGTTTTTAATATTATTTTTCCACTTTGAGTATTGTCCTAATATAGCACAAGAATATTGCTATTTAAGGACAATGCTCAATATACTTTATTTTGTTAAAAAGCTACTAAAATAGAAAATTGTAAAAAGATTCCAAAACCGTGCTATTTTTAGAATCATTATTTCAAAAATTGCTCTTTTTCTAACATTAGGCTTTTTTTCTACTTAAAAACCCATAATAATAGTTTTAAAATAAGTTTTGAAGAAATGATGAATACAAATTTCTTCGAATCTTTTGTAATAAGGAAACAAGAATATTAATGATTCATTGATAATTGCTTAATTGAACCGGAGTAGCTAATTTTTTTTAAATATTCGGCCTTGCAACTATTTCACTCTGATTCTTTGGCCTAGGGGTTATTTCATGCATGTCATTCAACTTTGAAATTTCAAATATAAAATGCAAAAATTGGAAGAATGCATAAGATGGCTTCAATCAATAATAAAAAAAGGACAAAATCGTTGACAAAAAAGTTATCTCATGAGAAGAATGTCAGAGTTCAAAAAGTATTGTAAAAACTGTAACAATTGCTACTCTTGTTTAATTAGGGTATTATAAACTTATATTTTCCTTTTTTAAACTTATATTTTTCAATAAACTAACAAAATGAGTGCGTAAATAATATCCATTCTTTTTAAGCCTTCACAAACTATAAATGCTCAAACATGCTGTACCATGACAGCTTCACTTGCAAATGGTCAAAAACATACTAATTCTTATCATGCCCTGCGGCGAACTACGAAGTTTGAAATTCATTATGTAAACAGTTCAAAAGTTATAACCGTTTTATTTCATATAGTTCAATTGCCCCCTTGTAATAATTAAAGTCAGATATGTTAAAATATTTCAACTAAGTTCACATTTGATTCCTTTTGATACAAAAATTTTAAAAAACAAAATTAAACATACCATCTAACTCAACTGAGCTTGTAGAGGTAGCTTCTAAATCTACTGCCATATTAATCAATGAAAGCACATCATGATCAAGCCAAGAGAATAAAGCTGGCTCAAAGCATGCTGCTGAACCACTAATTCGTACAATGCATAATGATGGGTCTGAAAACAAATACAAAAAATAATAATATTAAGTATATAGATGATTTAATTTATTATTTTATTAGGGAATTATATTTACCAACAACAATTTGATATTTAAGAAATTAAAAATAAGGGTTATCAGTTTCATGATTAGGTTAAAAAAAAATTTTAAATTTAATATATGAGATATTTTTCTTATTAAAAATTAACAATCAATACAGAAAAACAGTATATAACTAATTTTCCTGTTAACTAGGATTCGTAAAAACTGGAAGAGACATATTTGGTAGAGGGCTTTCATACACTTCAGAGGGATCGATCTGCATGATTTCAGTTTCTGTTAACAATTAGTTTTTTATGAGATAGGATTGTTAACTTTTTGCTCAATTCCCAACCTGGAGGGCCAGGGTGTTATTCTTAGTCAGGTGTCTTCCTACTGATCTGTCTGGTTTGGGAGGTCCTACCAGGAACATGTTGAAATTAAACCAGAAAATTGGGATCATTATGAGAGGAAAAAAAGAAAGTAAGATGCAAGACAAGAAAAAGGAAATATTATGAAGGCCACATCAGCAGAAGCAGTCAGAAACAACGACTCAAAAAAGTTTTAAGACATCACTTACAAAATTAATGGAAAGAGATAAGCAATTAAAAGGCCAATTAAGAACAAACGAGGCTTAAAACTTAAATCAAATGAATGGCTTTGCAAAAAGTGGGTTAATCATTTTCAGGAAACCTTAAACAGACCAAATCCTGCTATTTTGTAAGATATTCCTGAAGGAGCACCCAGACAATTAGACATAGACACAAGTCCAATACAATAATCTACCTGGTAAACTCTTCATAGAAAATTCAAAAACTGCTATCAAAGCTTTAACTGATCTGTTAAAGCTTAAGCGACAAAGAGTGAAGAGTGGCCTAATGATAGTGAAAAAGGTCTGCTGATATAACTACCAAAAAAAGGTGAATTGAAGATAAGTGATAACCAGAGAGGAATCACTTTGTTAAATGTATGTACCGTATTTTTCGGTGAAAGAGCCGCACATCGATAAAAATGAAATTTTTTAAAAAAAGTTTCAGTAAGCGCCGCAATGACGCTACACAACGGATATCAGCATTCTTATAGAAGAGACCTTTAATATACCATTTAGAATATCTGTGTAAAAAAAATCAAATTTTCTTATACATTTCATAAAGTAAAGTTTTAATTTCTAAATTATAATAAAAAATTTCTTTTTCAGCAAAAAAAAGCAACAAAACAATATAAAATGAAGCTATTCTTACCTGTTAAAAAATAAAGTTAAGTACAACAAATAATTCTGAATGTTGAATACAACAAGATATATTAAAATACATCAAGTAACGATATTTCCAAATTATTTTTTTTTGGGGGGGGGANACAATTCATTGAAAAGTTCCCTTTTAGCAAAAAAAGCAACAAAATTATATAAAATAAAGTTGTTCTCACCAGTTGGCACCGCGCCAAAAAACAGAAGAGCAAATAATTAACAACAAAAAAATATTTATATGCTCAGCAGCTGAAATAACGCAGGACTGATTACAGAAATCCGTAAAACAATGTAATAAGAAAAACAAAATGCAAATTTATTTAAAAAAAAGATTCTAAAATAAAAAGATTTAAAAATTTATTGCAGTTAACAATTTGAGGAAAACAAATAATAACGAAACAACTAATAATATCAAAATAACTAATAATAAGAAATAACTAAGTGCGCCCCAAGAAAATTCTGAAGAAGGAATCAGTGAAGGGAAAATAAGTTTTACTTTCACAATGCCCTTTCCTTCAATGGAAATAATACAATGTGACTCAACTTATTAGAAAGAGAGAAGAAAATGTTTAAAAGAATAAGAAATAATACACCACCTCCTCCACATGTCATTTCTACTGGAGCTGTTTAGGAGAAATCAATCAGTTATTTTTAAAGGGGTTGGGGGAAAAAACGGCACTTAATCTGATCTAATTTTATTTAATTTTTTTTAAAGAAATTTCTATTGATAAGACAAAAAAAAAACCAGCTATATAGCGTTTTATTTGGAATTTTATTCTGTTGAAGTAAAGTAACTTTATCTTTTAAAATTAAAAACAGCTTGAAAAAAATAATAAATCTGTGTCAAAGGAAACATCTGTTTTTAAAGCAGTTTAAGATAAAGTGAAAAGTAAAAACACCTGCATTTCCGATGCACAAAATAAAGAAATGCAAGTTGGAAAAAAATGATCAATCAATCTTGACAGCCGTGCTTGTGCCTTACTGGTTTGTCCCCACATTTCCCTCCTCTGTTTGACTATAAATTGGCCACACCCAGTTGATATTTAAACTATCATGTGGACTACAAAATGAATTTTATCCCTTTTGGGGTTTTTAATTCGATTCATAAATTTTTATTTTGCCGCTTTTTTATTAGTTTTTTTGGTTTATAGTTAGCTTGTTTTTTTTCTTGTTATTAGTTGTTTGCTTGTTTTTTGATGTTATTCATTGTTAGTTTCTTAGCATTATTTGTTAATTTTTTTGTAGTTTTTTGTTAGTTTTTTTCTTCTGGGAAGTGAGCGTCTTTTGTTAAAACAAAATGTTTCTAAAAGAAAAAACGAGATTTATGATCTCGCTCCGAAGAAGGAACGATAATTTCTTATTCGGAGGATTCGGATCATTTCTTGAATTATTTCTCCTTCAAATTATTTCTCCGTGATTATATTATATAGATTATTATTTTAATTAATAAAATTTCTTAAGATGGGCCAGTTTTAAATTCACCCCATCATAATCAACGATCGAAACTTGATTAAATTTATTGGTTTTTCTGAAATTAGCAGTGTAATTGAATTATAGTAATATTTGGGCGTCATATTGGAATTTCTGAAAGAGATCCGAAGTTTGGTATTTCGTCAGTCCCATGAGTGCCGGATTTGGGGTTCTATTACTTCTTTTTCTGTTTACTCCAATCACAATTGCCAAGGCGCTAAGTAGATTTCTAGCTTGCGATTTTTCTTTAAGCTGTGGGTGGATACAAGATGCATACCTTTATAAATTTTCTCCTCATACGATGTTTTTTTAAATTTTTTATTTCGTTTATTTATTTTCTTGCAGGCTGCTGCCGAAAGTTTGCTAAGAATTGGCAATTGTTCTGCAGCAAATCGCGATACGGGCGAATATTTCGTCGCCTGTGTTATCAATTTTTTTTAATAGTCTTTTTCAGAAAATTATTTCATTTTAAATAACTCTCCTTAATAATTTTTTTTCTATTAAAAATATTTTCGTCGGAGGCGCTGCATGTAGGAAAAAAAAACTTTTTTTATAGCGCCGCGGCGCTTTCGCCGAAAGATACGGAAGTAAAATTTTGACTAGAACACTGCTTTAAAGAATAAAATGCAATTGACAAACGTCGGCGACCAGAACAAGCAGGTTCCAGAACTAATAGATCCTGTTTCCACTACATTGTAACATTAAGGATTATTGTCGAACAATTTAATGAATGGCAACCAACAAAATACTTAAATTTCATGAATTTTGAAAAACCTTTCAACAGTTTACATAGGAATACTCTGGAATCTGTTGAAGTTCTATGGAATTCCAGAATGTTTTGTAAACATTATCAGAAATATTTTTAAAAATTACAATATACAAGTTATCCATGCTAGTATACAATCATAATTCTTCAAAGTTGTTTTGAGTGTTAGACAGGGTTGTACACTTTCTCCATCAATCTTCTTAATTGCTATTGACTGCATTATGAAGAAAGTATCAAAGACTAAAAGGGATATAAAATGAAGCCTTGCTAAACATCTCTCTGATCTTAATTTCGCAAACGACTTATGTTTACTAACCAACACCTTTCAAGACATGCAAACAAACACAAATATTTTAAACGTAGAGGCAAAGAAAATAGGGCTCGTTATCAACTAACATAAAACTAAAATTTTGAAAATTAATCCTAAACAGTTAAATGATATATTTTTAGAAAATAACTAATTAGAGGAAGTAAACAATATTACCTATCTCAGAAGTGTAACTAATAACAAAGGAGGAACTAATAAAGATATACTAAATAGATTAAACAAAATGACAGAAGCTAAAAAATATATTAAGAACTAGAAAATTCCAAGAATTACTACTACACCTGCATATTTCATTTTCGAGTTCTAATAACGAATTTCTGATTAAAGTTTCTCTCTATGAGGGATTTGAGGTGAAACTAGAAATTTTTTGTGAATCATTTGATACAAAAAATATGTGTTTTTAATACTATTTCACAGAGATTTATTTTAAATGAAGATGTCTGAGGATCTATCAAAGAACACTATTACTTGGTGCTGCTAGTGATCTCTATAGTGTAAATTGAGTACATTAAGGTTTTGTGACTCATATTAATAATGAGTTATAGGCAGGTTGCATAAATTTATCAATCTTAAATGCCTCACAATTTACTTTTCTCTTTTACTTGATGCAGTTTAGCCCTTATGAAGAACTTACTAATGTTTCCAATAATTTCTAAATATATTTTATACCAATACTCTTGATAATAAGGAAAAATAGAATATTACTTTCAATATATTATCTTGAACTGCACATTCAATAATAAAATATTACTCTGTTATTAACACAAGGAATTAAAATATTGAGAAACCTGATCATAAGTCTTGTTCAAACAAAAATAAGTTGAGAAAAGTAGAAGTGACGATTCAATAGGTAGAGTTTTTAAACATCTGCTGTAGAAGGTACTGCTTATTGTAGAAGCGACATGTTTGATTTATTGGTCATTTATAGTTTTCTTTTTAAAAAAAGCATGCCACAATCAGTGAAAGGCATTTTATAGATTAATCAAAAGAAGATCAGTATACTGTAATTAATTATTATTTGGTTTGTTCAGCAATGTGTGTGTGTGAGTTCAAGTTACATAATACCTAATTATCTTTGAACATATACTAAAAATAAGAATTCGATCCTTAACAAGAAATAAAAAAAATGCACACCGATCCGACACAGTTTTAACATTCATCATGAATGTTATTAAATGATTATTAAATATAATACATATTTGGAAAGAGCTTAGTTGTCAGAATTTAATTAATTTACTTAAGTCGCAAATTTAACAGTACGTGTGTAACTAATTAGTTTTGATCTCCATGAGTAGAATATCAAGTTAATTGAATTATAAAATTATTTTAAATTAATTATGTTGTCTGAAAAAATAATTTATAAACAATTCATTGAACCATCTTAAAGATAAAGGATTAAGTTTAATTGACTGCTTTTGGACTAATTTCAAAGGAACAGTGTACATCTTTGAATTAATTTTGCAACCAATCACTATTTGAGACAAATACTAATTATAGTGAAAAATAAGTATGTAAAAAAAAAAAACATGTGGAAAGAGCATCCATGTGGCATAGCTATATTGAAGCTAGTAATAGAAAAAGATGATGTCATGCGGAAGTTAGAACTCATCATGTAATGTCATGCAGCTAAGCTAAACATTAGTTGAAAGAAATGACATCATTGTGTGTGAATAAATAGAAAAAAAAGAGAGAACATCTTTTTCCATGAAGGGAAGATGGAACTCTTTCATGGAAAGTGAATGGATAAGGTGAAGAAAGGCAGAGCTTAAGAAGAATGAGCTTCAGCAGCTAGTTCTTACAGTATTTGTTTCAGTTCAGATTGTAACATGTGAATGTTAAAAGAAAGTCGATTCTTTTACATACATATTAACTATGTATCACACTTAATTTCTAAGTTTACATATATTTTATCTAATTAAGTTCTGACAAGGAACAGCTCTTATATATTTGAAATTACATGCGTATTGTAACTAAAAAAAAGATTCCAAAATATTTTTACAGTCCCAATTTCATTTAAATATATCTTATTCAAACGAATCGTTAAAGAATGTGTGTCTTATATTACAAAAAAGAAGAATATTGCAGCAAAAACATCTCGCTTAGTTTTCTTCTCTATAATTACAGAAACTTTAATGCATCATTTTATTTTAAACACTTAGTTAATATAATAAGTTATAGCTTGAAAAAGAGTTCTCTAGCCAAAAAAAATTTCTAGCTCTAAAAAGAACTTGTACTTACGAGCAATTGAAGCATTATATGGAATTTGCAATAATAACTGAAAAAAATTCTCTTCTTTTGTAGTTTGAGTCACAAGATCATTAGATTGTGAAAGTACAATTCCTTCATGTATATTAGAAGTTGATTCAGGAGCATGGAGCAAAACACTAAACATATCTAAAACACAGAAATTGAAAGGCATTTTCATCAAAAATAATAATAATAAAACACTGTGAATAAGATTTTTTCCTCAACTTCAAACTAAGGTTTTCAAAAAAATGTTACTCTATAACAGGTGACCTTGGAAACTAAAGTAATAAATAATAGATTCTGGAAGTGGGCAAAATAAGTAATAGGCTTTATTCTTAATCATACTGAAAATTCCTCCACCGAAATTCATTGAAGAATATGGGTAGGTAAAAGGAGCAAACAAGAACTAGTTTTATAGCAAAATGGTTAACACAAGAATGGATTCATAAGGAGCAAAAGGAATAAATATTTGTCTGATATCAGAAAATTAACAACTGAAAGTGTAGAGTCAAAGACTTACTTCATGTAATGAGCCAGTCACACATCTGCCTAACTATCTACAATAGTTACTCTATTTTCAGACATTTTTAGATGTATGTATCAACTGTTCCATCTATCTGGTATACCTGCCATTGCCGATGGTATAAACCTCATTGATATAAATTAAATAACCAAGTATATTTTCCTATTATCTACATTCTTGGGGCAGCAGCGATAGCATATCAACATTCTTGGGGCAGCGAAAGTTAGCATAAAGCGATTTATGCTAACTTTCAAAAGAATATAAAGACTACCAATACCATCATGAAGTACCTCTACGGAGACAAAAATAGCTGTTTTTCTAGTTCTCAAGATTAAAAAGAGTAGTCTAAATAGTATCTTCAGAAATAAATAATAGTAGCCTACATCCTAACCCCTGATAATAAAAGTAACACATAAGGAAAAAAATTTGAAAAAGTAGAGATAATACACAGAGTGTTCCGCAAAGATTGCCCTTAATATGCTTTTTTAATATACTTATAACCAAAAACAAAAAGGTATACACTTTATGGATCAAAAATTATTATTAACGAAAACATTATCCAAATCTGGCAAATCTCAGTACAGGAAGGCAAATGTAATAAACAACAAGACTGGAGATTGTGTGAGGAAACAGAGAGAAGCTGAAAGACAATTAGTAGAAGCACTTCAAGCTTCAACCTCGAATTAAACCTGTTTAGATGTCCCCTCTTTCTCTACTATAATTTGTCAGTTTTCGACAGTGTTTTGTTCATCCTTTACTTAAATATTCATTTGTGACCCATCATGTTTATACTTTGTTCTCAATTTTGATAAGGATTTTTAGAATACATATTAAGTGCAGCCTTTTCAGAATACCCTATACAATACAGGGATTATATTAGAAGAAGCTTGTGAAAGGCTACCCAGTTTGAACTCCAGATAAAAAAGATTTTTTCCTATATGCTCTTTGATGCCAAATGTGTTAAGAAAAATGGTCTATTTTAAAAAATTCCCTCATACATTCCAATTGATTTCTTGGCCATTTCTGCATTACAAAGTTTTAATATGATGCTCATGAATGATGTTAGTAGGATGCATGAATTTTGAATTTGATTGAAACTCGCGACTTTTGAACTCTTTCACCCATTTAACTTGCTACGATCTCATAGTAAACCCACGTCACTTCCTGATAATTTTTCACCAATTATTTATTGTTTTTTCTGCTATTTATACGTGATTTTAAAAACTTGTACTTGACTAATTATTTCTTTGCGATTCTTAATCTGCTGATTTAATTGTTAATCTGTCATTTTCTGGTCAGTTATCTATCCTTTTATCAGACGTCCTGTAGTGGTTTTTTAAATTCTGATATTTTAGTACCATGTAATTACAACATGCAATTTTCAAATTTAAGTTATTGCATTTTGACGGACTCAAATTGTGACAATTCTATCATATATCAATATCGTTTTTGGATAGTTTTTTGACACTTATTTAGTACTTTGACCATTTCCACAAATAACTGCAAAAAAAAAAATTGATGAGGTAAATATATTTTTACAATTAATTTCCTCTAAGTGATTTACTTTTTAGAAAAATATTTATTATAGTACATATATTTATGTCATATTTGTATCTGGGTGAACAAGGGCTCATATGTTAGTAGGGTGATGTTAAAAATGTACATTTTTGCATAAAAATACTGAGCAACTTAAAATGACTCTAATATATATATTTCTCAACAGACATCATTCACAATTTTTGATATATTTTTTTTAGGGATTTGCTTTAAAAATTAATTGTAAATCAGTTAATACAAAATGATTTCTGTAAAACTTCCACCTTGTTTTAATGAATTTGACTGCATTATATATTCAACTATAGACTATTTAACTTAACATTTCTAAAATATATCTTTCACATGTATTATTTATTAAAAAAATTTAAAAAAAAAATTTTTTTTTAGATCTCATTCTGAATGAGGATTTTAGCTAGATATTCTTATTATATGATCTGCAAATGTAAGCATACTTACTTTGGTTAAAAAACTTCAAGGATAGACACTCTATCAAAAATTTCATAAAAGTTAAATCTTGTTGCCGAATATATGTAAAGAAAATATTGGTAACTTCAAGAGAAAGATAATGGAAATCTGCAAAAAATATATAGGATTTTTAACTTTGATTAAAGAAATTTGAATTATTTTAAGTTTATAAAATATACAATATTAAAGAAATTATTTACAAACTATCTTAAATTTTTAACAATATGTTGAAAAGTAATAATTTTTTAGAAGTATTCTTTGCAACAATGGCAGTAAATGCACACAAGAAAATATACCAATATGCTAACATTATTAGCAGGATGAAAAAATTTAGAAATAAAAGAGAACCCATTGTCAGCTTAAGAGACCGGTAAGATGGGCAACCAGTTAGGGGAGCGCCAAATGACAATCAGATTAAATGTTCTCACAATTTTTAATTTCCTCCTTTTTTTGCTTGAAAAATATATTTATATGGTTTTATTATTTCTTTAATTATTCTTAGGTTACCTTTCTATATGGTTAAAGTTCAATAAGTAAAAGTTTTACTTAAGATGGAAAGAATTCTATGCAGCAGAAAAGCTACATGCTTCACTTTGAATAGAAAGAGCTGTAAGTTTCACATAATATTCTCAAAAAGTAGCATAGAGTGATTGCCAGACAAAAACCGGAAGGAGGGCATTTAAAGAATGACCATGTGAACTCTTCATAGCTTCCTTTTAATTTAGTATGTTATTTCTTGCTAATTTTATGAAAACAGATGAAATTTTTTTAAAAATAAAACATTACTTTGGAATTATGGTTCACAATTTTCTTTCGCATTACTTTAACTTACAAATTAAATCATTCAAATCATTTAATTTACAAATTACAATTATTATTTTTCATCAAAGATCAAAAATAAATAAAAGAATGATTTTTTTATGCTATGTCTTGATATACATTCATTATTTTATGATATATGGACTTTTTTGCTGGATTCTATTATTATACAGTAGAGAACCAATTATCCGGGATGCTCGGGACCATCGCTATCCCGGATATCTGAATTTCCCGGTTTTCTGGATCGACCAAAAAGTGTCGTTAATCGATGTTTTATCGAACCCGAAGTACAAGGAAAAAGTGTAATGCATAAAGTAACAGAAAAAAGAAAGGTACTCCTAACTTTAAAAAGAAAAAAAAAATGGTAGAAATAAAACATTTAAAAGAATAAAAAAAATTTGCAAGTTTAGACAAGAAATTCAAGTTTAAAAAATACAAAATTCTCATATTTATTTTTTAAAAATGATTACAATTCCTAAATAAAATAATATAAACAAAACCAGTGATTAAATAACGCAATATATTTCAAACCTAATTATACGGGGGGAAACGATAAAATAAAAGGAAAATTTATTAATCTAAATAAAAACACTTGAAAATAATCGAACCGAAACGATAGTTAAAAAAGGCACTAACATAAATATTAAAACCCGGAACAAGGCAAGATCAACGGAATTTTAAAAAAAACCCTAATGAGGAAATTTATGAATAAGAAGAATTAATTTATTGAGTACGAAATTTATCGTTAAAAGAAGAAAAAATCAAATGTAGTGGAATCAGAAAAACAAAACTGCAATCTGCTTCATAAAATAATCCTATGTTTAAATTAATAAGCAATTCTCCTTTTATTTTATTTTTTTTGTTGATAAAAACAAGATTTTTAATTACAGCAGATGTGATTCCACACCAAGAAAAACTTGCAATTGATACCGCTCTTCCAAAGAATGAGAATTTATTCAAAAGAAAAAGATTTTATTTTTATTAGTCGATGTCAAATAAATATATTTTTCTCTTTTCTTTTTCTGTTCACTGATATGCATGCAATGCATTTTCCCCACCCCCCTCGTAAATCAAGCAGAAAACGAAATCAGCATGCCACACCCTTGAGTTTGATTGACGGCCTAAAGGAAAAAATAAAACATTCCTCCCTTCCCTGCCTTCAAGGTCATGGAGGAAGTGACGTTTCTCTGGGTAAACGGGGAAAAAAAATTTCCCCTTCCTTACATTTTCCTCTAAATTTCAAGGATGAGTCCAATTTCCGCTTTTTTCGTTCTACTTTTAAAATGGCGGGAAAATCAAGCAAAATTTTTCCCGGTTATCTGGATACCGGATAAATGGTTCTCTACTGTAAAACAATTTTCCTTTTTGTAATACATTTTAAAAAAATTAATGCATTTTGAAAAAAAATCTATTGTATAATTTAAAATATTAAACGGATTATTGGTTTTGTACACATATAAAAGAATATTAGTCCTTAATTTTCTAATAAAAAACTGAATGTGTTCAATTAAGCGCATGGGCAACATCTGAACCTGTATGTCAAATATACTCTAAATATAATGTCAAATTAATGATATAAATCTTAATATTTAGTGTTGAAAATACTCTTATTTTGTCTCCAATTTAAGTTTTTCATCCAAATCACAGCGGATTTCTTGAGAAATTGGGCTTAATTAGATAATTAGTAAAGATTAGATAATTACCAAGGTCTTAATAAATTGTATGTTAACAACAGGAAATATGTATTTATTTTTTTAATATTTCATATATTTTATTGTTTGACGTATACTAAAATAGTAATTAAAGGATTTTTCGGAAGGCTAAAGCAAGACTTCTTTTTCTCTACAAATAATTGCTAATAGGAAGCTAGATAGCTTCTTTATTCATCTGATTTATCTAAATGTTTATTGTTGTTGTAGTTTCAGTTACTATAATAACCATCAGTTATTCCTATTACTATAATAACCATCAGTTATTCTCTGATAGAATACTTCATAAACATTTTATTATAAATTCCCTTTATGATGAGAACTGTTATCATGAATGATTTCCAATATGGTGTGTAAATAAAGAAAGATTGAGAAATGTAAGGAAACCAATCAATAGATTAGAGAATAGGAGTATTAACAACAAGTCAAAAATAAATAGCTGTGAATTTGTTTATAGGCTAGTCATTGAAAGGTATATTAGTGAATAGTTAAATCAGTGAATAAATTTGTAAATGCATAAAAATGTTATAAATCTATAAATTGTTTGACGGCAGTCAACGACACAATAATTTCCTAATCTATAAAATAATTTTTAGCAAAATAACGACATACTGAATGCAAATTATGACAATAATTTTTATCAAAAAGAAACTGCAAAAATAATTAATTTTGAAGAGTCTATAAAACTGTCTGTTTGTCACTCCATGAAAAAATAAATTTTGATGTTAATGCTCAGATTTTGTAGGTCATATAAAATTATGCTTATAAAAATATTTTCTTTAATAAATATTTATTTTAGAATACTTGAGATAATATTCTCATTAACTAAACTAACTGCTTTCTTTTTAGCAGTGAATGCTTAATTGCTATTTATCTTGTACTTATGTATCCTAAATGAGCATTTTGGGTTGATGAAGAAAAAAAGATATAGATTATTTCTTAAAGATCATCTAAATAATGTGTTCAAACATACAAGTTAGATTTATGAAACTAAATTTACATAATGTGTTTAAAATGTAAACACAATTAGCATTTAAACACATTTTTTATGACATGGAGTATTTTAAAAAAGATTACCAGGTTTATGTTTTTAATTAGTTTTCTAAACTAAATCTTTATTAGTTTTCTAAACTTTATGACGAAATCTTTATTGAAATATACAAATTAACATATCATTTAAACATAACTAAAGTTATTGAACAATCTGAACATTATTTCTTTAGAAATCTCTCAAAAATATCAGGTGGCTTATATCTGCATAGTGTATATGTACTTAGTATACTCTAATTATTCTACATCAATAAATGAAAAAAATTAGGTACAGCTGACCAAATTTCATTTGTAAGACCATTCTTACAAATGAAATTTGGAGCATTTTCTAGTTATATTCTTATAATAAACTCTTTAATTTAAATATGTATTAAATAAATAAAGATATATACTATATTTCACATTTTAAGAAATTAAGAACACATAGAAGTCTTTCAAGGTTAATTTACTTTTTACTTTATTGTACAGATAGTTTACAGCACATTTTTTAGAAAAGGCTGCTTGAACTGTAATATGCTTAGATGAAATGAAACAAGCTATATTATTTACTCATTATTATTTAAAAAGTTTAAGCATTTTTAATGGTTATTTCTAACAAAAAATTATTTTCATTTGAGAGTCACTCTTTGCAATATTTTTGTACATTCATGAAACAGCAAAATCACATTGAAAATCCTATTTTTGTTGGGATGATAGGATCCTTTTAATCAACATTAAATAGATACTAAATATATTTAAAATAATTAGATACAAATCTATGTAATTTCAATGTTAAAGTCTTTTTAGATTGTTTTTCGTAGTGAGAATGTTTTTATAATGGCACATACTTACCATTTTCAAGTTTTTCAGATATTTGCTGAAGTTTTTCAAGATTACTTGAATTAAAATGCTTAACCGTCCATGCTTTATATATTGCAATTAGTGCCAAAACTTTAAGCTCAGATAAACGTAATTGTATCTGAGAGCATTCCAATGTGAATTCTTTTAATGTTAAATCTTCATGAGTATCCCAACTTTCTGGTAGAATTCGTGTTTTTAGAAAAATTGTTATATTTGTCTGATGAATAATAGCAGGTTCGAAGAAAGAATTTGGATTTTCTTTGTGCAATGAAATTTCAAAACCAAATACCTGAAAAAAAAGTTGATTAAATACCTATTAACAGACGGATATACATAAAATACACTAAGTAACAAAAGTTATTAACACATTAGCTGATTTTCTATTTGAGAAAATTCAGATAGTCTTCTGTTAAGCACATTATCTATAGTGAAAAACATGAGAGAAAAACAATTTTTCATACAGAAAAGCAAACTGCTGGTATTCTGAACTCAATTTTGCATGCTAACAATTTGGGATGTTAATAATTTTTGTTTACATTTTGCAACACATAAATATTTCTTAAAAAAATATATATAATAATTTGAATATTTTTTTAGTGTAAAACAACATTCAAGAATATTTACATATACGCTTTTATAATTAATAAGAAAAACATTAAAATGTTTAAAAAAATGTAAAATTTGGCAAGATATTTTTGAAATAATTTAATGCTGAAAATGCAGTTAAAAAAAAGCAAAATGAAAAAGGATCATAACACAGTAGTCAAGTATATTAGGAACCTTACTAAAAACAATTTGAGCAGTGATAGCTCAGGCTGCAAATTCTCTTAATTTCTTACACCAGGTATATTATTTCATCATTTTCACTTGCTCATATAATCATTCAGCTGTAAATCCATTTATATCACAGGTTTTTTTCCCTAACTTTCATCACTTTTACATGAAAAATTAAAAAGCTGCATGTAGAACAGTAAAGGAATCAGCCCCACCAACTATTTTTTGAGGCAGCTAAGTAACTATTTTTACATTGATAGGAAAAGCAAAAATTAGTTTTTTCCCTTTTTTTTTGAAATGTAGTTAGCAAGATTGAAGTTCTTTCTATGTACAGTGATTAAATTATTAAAATTTAATAAAGTAAAATTATTATTATTCTATCTACATTATCACCCTGAATTAAAAATTTAAAAAAACTAAAAGAAACATAGCTTTTCAATATCAAATAAGATTGGATAAACAAGCTCCCTGATTTAACAAAAGAATTACCTAGGTTCCTATAATCTTGTTATAAATGATATTGACTGTATTTTAAAATGATACAATATTAAATGCTGTTGCATAAATATAAATGCTACATGTACAAAAGTAACTTACTTTTCCTGAATATGAGTTGTAACAGTGATTCTCGAGCAATGGAGAAAAGCTTTGGAGCCCTTTTACAATTTTGACAAGCTTATTTGGATACATGGGATAGCTTGACTGAAAATCTATACATTCTGCATAAAATTCAAGACAAAACAGTTTTTCATGACTTTTAGACACCTTGGCCACTTTTGAGAGCTTAGAGGTTCTCTGCAATAAGTATTTTTCATAAATTATATACATTAAAAATATGATGCTTATGAACTTTACTTAAACCAGGCAAAATTTAAATTATATATTACTTTTTTCCCTTTTTTTGAAAGAGTATTTGAGTATGGGAAATGGTTGGCAATGAATAAATGAACAACAGGCTTAAACAAAGTAAGTTGATACAAACGAGAAGGAACAGATTCTTCTAATAGTTCAATATCTTTAGAAGCACAAATCTGATGAAGTGGAAGGTCCCCTGAAAGAATTAATGAACATCTATGAGCATTTCCTTTTTTATAAAACATATTACAAGGCGGATTTTCAAAGAAATTTTATTATTAGCTACATTAGGGGAAGTTCTTAAAAGCTGCTATCCTGTTATAGTGCAAGATTTTTATCACTCTCACTACATTTATACTAACCTAGTTTAATTAAAAAACTCTAAAACACCAAACTTTCAGTAAAAAAAATATTTTTTATAGTACTCTCTCAGCTAATGGCCCAGGAAAATCTATTTTCAGGAAAATGTTTCTTTTAATTTTTAAAAACAAAAGCAGTTTTATTAATTTCCGAGAAAAGGTAAAGAAGCCATTTTAGTAAATCATGTGGTTCTAGATATTTTCATGTGGTCTTGGATAGAACATCGAAATTCAATTACTCTGCTTACTTTCTAAAAAACTAAACTTGAAATATTCTAGTCCTTCTTCATTGGTTGAAATATTAAAATTAATTAAAAATCAGTTTCTGAAAAAGAAGCTTTCTATCACTTGTTTTGGTGCATTCTTTCTTAAATCTTGAAAATATTTAATTCAAAACATAAGCGAGCCCTTCTAGAGTGACAGACTGTTTTCCAATTTTTCCTTTTGCTCCCCTCTTGTCTTAGGATCTGATTTATACTTGTGATACTTCAGGCAGTCACTTACCTAGTCCTGGTCTAGTGAACAATTACTTTAAGATTTGTTCTGAAAAGTGAAGCGTTTTTACTTTTTAAAAAAAAATTTTTTTAATGTTTTTCACTTTTCACCCTAGAGGACACAATTTTAATTTTCTTTTTCTACGCATTGCTGCATAATCTTTTGAAATTGCTGCTAATGTTTTGCTAAAAATGGAATGAATTGATGACTGCTTCACACGCAACTCAATTCCAGGACAAAACATTTTTGGGGCTTTTCAGTTAGAAGATTATTTAAGGTTGAGATGATACATGCCATAACATTCTGAGTATCAGTTCAACTTGGCTACATCAGCATCAAGCTTGAACTGAAAACAAATCAGTGACAACATGGCCCCTCCAGATTTCCTTTCCACTTTGTAGAAACATATGAGTTAGTATGCCAATTAATAGGGACAAAAATGAAATTTTTGTTCTTTAATATCGTTCTAGAATGTTGACTTACTGGCTCAACGTGGTGACTTCCAGTGGTTCTCTCTTCCATACTGATTTAGAAATGAATATGCCAATTCATTCAACATAGTAGCCTAGTACAGTAGTGTTCTTCTCAACAATTGACAGCATTTGCACATTTTGAATTGAAGAGTGGTTTATTTTTGTAATTTATCAAGTCACCTGAGATTTAATTTATTCTAGGATATTAATATGCACTGCAAGTGGCTTCATACTGCTTTATTTTTTTAACAAATTCATTTGCTACTGCTTTGTTTACCTTTTTCAATTAAGAGATTGTTCTATTTAGATTTTTAAGGATAGGATAAACTTTATAAACATTAAATTTAATAAAATGATTAAAAATATAGACAGGCACCTGATTATGTTTCAAGATAATCCAACCAAACCTTCAAAGCTTAGGCGATCATTTCAATCTTCAATGCTTGGGTGATAGCTTAAAGCTACATATTACTTCCCATTGGAAGACAATCCTCTACTGAATCAGTCGATAAATACAATCAAGGATATCATCAGCCAGGAGAAGCTTACGGAAAGATTTACGACTGAAATCTTATGACTGAGAGATAATATATTCACTGTCCTCGGACTCACTCGGAGTGCATCACAACTAATTTGATATGCAATGGTAATACTAATGAAAACGAAATTGCAGAAAGTACAAAATGATTTTGATTTCAATTCAAGGGGGGGGAATCTTACTGTGAAAATTGTGAAAAAAGGAGGACTAGTTGCGTCATCTCTTAGCAATATTCAGAAATACAAAAATAATAGCAGGATTTAAAGAGACATGTAAATAGCTACGAAATTAATTTCAATGATGAAATTTTTCTCTTCATCGCATGGCATACAATGCCGACCATAAAGGCACAAAACCATTGAATGTATGAGATGTGACATTGACACAGAGGGGGTAAAAAAAGCCCCCTAAAAATACTTTAAAACTTTTGAATTTGTGGTAAACATTTTATCAGAGTGCAATTAAAAAATTACCTTAAAAATATTTTAAAATTAACTTACAAATTTGAGTGTAACTCGGATACTCATAATCTTGAGCACAATGCAATAATTTTGTAAGCTTGTGGACTACGCTACTTGTGACTTCAAAACAGAAAGGTCCAAAAACTAAGCGAGCAGTTGAAGATTCAGGCCAATTACTCTCCTCTAAAAAAGATGAAGTAAGTTCTGATAATCTATCTGAAAAAAAGAAATAAAACAATACAAATTACTATAGTTTACATCAAGCTTACTAAATCTGAAAGACAAAAAAAATATATAATTAAGAATAGATTTTTTTTTGTTTTTGCAGTGTGCTTCAACAGCAAAGTTTTCAAAACACATTAATCGAACTTATATGGATCTGAGTCATCTTAGCCAATAATATACAACTTTTAGTTGTATAGGATGCCTGAATATTTCTTGAGTTAGAAAAGTTAATTTAATTGAAACATGAAGAAAGTCTTCAGCTTTTTTATATCACACATAAAAATTTTAAGCACAAATGAAAATTTAAATTTGGATAAGGGGCTACTTCATAATTCTTCACCTTTTTAAAACTTGGATATATGAAAATTATGAATGTTTAATAAGTTTCGTGCAGTTTTTTAAAAATTCCATATCTCCATAGGTGTTTCTTTACATGGCAGCATTTTTAACTTGCATAATTTTTAACACATCCATCCAGTCACCTAAAGTTTTAGATGCACCATGTAGGAATTAGGTACTCCTTAGGAGCTAGGCACTCAGGACCACATATGAGCAACTTTTATTCAGCTGAAACAATTTTTAATTTCTCTTTTCTGATTATGAACAGTCAATAAATATTAATCTTAGAAATTTTTATTAGTGATAAATATGCTAATGCTATCCAAATGAAGAAAGAGTAAACTTTTTGTAACATGTAAACATGTAAATAAAGAAAAACAACATAAATGAAGTACAAATAAACGCGCAACAATGGACATGCTACAGTAATGGTTCTATAAACATGAACCTTCCTCAGTGTTAAAACAAAAATTGACAAGAGAAAGTAATATAGATAAATTTTTTGAAATAAGAAACAAGTGGTTTAATCACTGACTGCTCTTCAAGCAATGACTTAAAACAAGTGGCAAAACAATGGTTCTTAGAATGACCCAAATTTTGTAAAAATAAGTAAATAAAAAAAATAAAAAAAAGCTATTGCAAATTTGGCAACCCACTGACATAATTTTCTTAACAATGGAAGTAAAAATTTTTGTTTCAAATAAACTTCTCTTGGATTTTTGGCCACTGACCTATTACGAAATAAACATCCCTTAAAAAAATGTAAAACAAGATATGTTTTTAGCAAGTAAAATTAAAGCTAATTTGTTCTCTTTTAACAACAACAAAATTGAAACATACCATTCCAATCTTCCGGAATTAGCAGCTCATAGAGATAGTCAAAGGCTAAAGCAGGGTACCTTTGAAACATAACTTCTTCAGAGAGGGTGGATAGGTGCTCTTCTTTAGAAAAACAATATTTTCGCTCCTGATTACAGTTTTCTGGTGCAAGAGGATCAAATAATGATGATGTCAAAAAACTGTAAGGATGACTATTTCCAGGAGGAACACCAGATTTTAAAAATATCTTTTTCTGCAAAATAGTTATATTAATGAAAATGATTTATAAAAAAAAGTAAACAGTAAGTAGGATTAATTTATGTAATAAAAAAGATAAAGATACTTATATTTTTTACTAAAGATACTTTATCTTTTACATTAAAGATACTAGTCTCTTTTTAACCCAAAAAAATTTAACTACTAAATTAAACAAGGTAAATAGGAATAAATTATCTGTGTCAGTTAAAATAAAGGTTGAATGTAAAATTTGATAATCAATATGAATGAAATTGTAAAATTCATTTTACCCATAGCAATCGTTCAAAGGTGCAGACTCTTGGCATCTAAGCCTGATGCTAAGTGAGAAGATTTTAGGGTTTTTTGTTAACTGTGTCAAGTACAATTAGACCCTACTTCCACTCTATAAACACTTAAAGGATTGCATTTAGATCCTTCCTCCATTGAAATCTTTGGAATTAAAAAGTTTTGACATACCAAATGAATATTGCATTAATAAGACTAAAACAAGAAATTTTCCCAATAAACTTTAATTCTATTAAAAATGTCATTTCTGCTCTTCTTTCACTCATCTTTTTATAAAATAAATAGTAAAAGGAAAATGAACAAAATGTATAAATAAATACGATAACATATTCATCAGATAGTTATACAAAATTTAAATTAAATACGCATTGAATAAACCAGATTTTAATAAACTAATCAAAATTAGATCTTTCTGAATGGGATGTCAAAAGAGAGGGAAAGCAATTTTCCTTCACCTACTTTCGATAAGAGCGGGTTGCTTATTCTCCTTTCTTCAAATCATATAATCATTACTCTTACTTCTAGTGTATCTTCCTTTAACTTTCAGGATAGGCTTGGATGGAAACATTTCAGTATAAAAATGTTAATCAATCCATAAGCAAATATGGTCTAATAATAATTTTAAAAATAGGAAAAGCAAAAGAAATGAAAGTGAACATCAAAAGAAAAATACAGAGATTATTAAAGCTGAGTGCAGAAGTCACAGATATTTAGACTTCAAATGAAAGACATTTCTTCTAGGAGTTATTGGTTATCATATTTTATTCTAAAATAAAAGTAAAAATAAATAAAATAAGATTTTATAAAAAAAATTATTTTATTAAAAATTGCTTTCTTTTTCACATTTTAACTATTGTTAAAAAAGATAAGACTCAGTAAAATAATTTTGATCACTGAAGGATTGTGTGCTATCATCTATTTAATAGGTTAGTTTGGTAAATATTCTCCAGAGATAACAAAAATTTCGTGTCAGACAGGCAGCTGGAGCAACATTTGGTTTTCACTTGATCTTGAGGGAAATGGGATATGACAATTGCGTTTGACCAAGTTCGAACTTGTTCAGACTTGATTTAATATTAAAGGGTAATTTATTTATGTTAATTGTTTGTTTATATTTCAGTAAAATTTAAAGGTTTTTTTCAATAGAATCAAGGCGAGTGATTACTTTATTTTTTATGCTAAAGTTTTATTTTAAAAGCGTTGCTATCTTAATAAGTTTAAATGTATTAATATATCATTTATTTCGTGATGCAATCTATAGGTAACAAAAACGGAGGCAAAAAATTCCAGAGAATTAGCAGCACTGGATTATAATACATAAAGAAATTATCACTCCTTTTAACAGATGATAATGTATTGGAAATCGCAAGAAATATTTGAAACATAACTATTAGAAAATATTTAAACATAAGTAACTGATCAAAACCAATCATAAACTAGAGGCATGGAAGAATTGCACTCTTAATAAGTTAAAATTTTAAATATTTTTTCAACAATACTAAGCCGAAATATTTTTAGAACAATTTGCACTAACTATTGAACTAAATTTTGCTTCTCAGTTTTTATCTTAATTTTTGCTTGTAAAATAAGCTTTATTAATATGTAATAGTTTCTACAAAAAAAAAAAAAAAAAAAAAAAAAAAAAAAAAAAAAAAAAAAAAAAAAAAAAANAATTTTAACGTAAGCCCAAAACCTTATAACGGACGAACGGATTTTTAACGTTTATTTGCCCTTTCATGCTGCATGGGTAAATTATAACAAATAAAATAGACTATTGCTGTCCAATCATTACAAATGCTGCATACACTTCCTCTTAACACCATGATGAAATAAAAACAACTTATATTTAACTGAAGGCCTCTCTACATTTTGTCAGTATAATGTCAAATTTTAATTCAGAATGAGCCACATTAATTTTTAGCTATTTCACTTTAGTTATGTAACGAAAGAATTACATAACTAATGTCAAAATTTTATGATTTAGACATTTGAATGCCCTGAAAATATTATTTTATTAAATATTTTCCATTATAACATACATATTTCTTTTATAATTATATAAATGAGACAACATTTTAAGACTAAGAGCTAGACTGTAATAGTTCTTGTTACTATAAACTAAGACAGTTTTTAACAGATTATGTAACACAATCAAACATTGGTTGAATTAAATCACAGAAAAAATCTAACACAGATCAGTTATCCACCATACATTACCGTATCATTATAGCTGCTTTGTGAGTCCTGGTAACCACAAACACACTCCTCATATCCTGAAATAGTAGCACCACCAATACCAATTTGAATATTTGCAAAATCTTTCCCTTTTGAGGTATATTCCATAGAACACCCAAACAAGTTGAACAAAAGTGATGGAGCAAATGAGTACTTCGTTGATGATATAACAGTATGCTAAAAATATACATACATATATGTATACAGTATAGGAATTTATAAATGCAACTAGAGTTTCAAAAACACAATTTTACAATGACACTAGTACACAGTTGCTAATTATTTATGCACTGTTTTAAATTTACAACATAAAACTTACAAAGCACAATTAATAAATTTAAGAACTTTTTTATTTAAATAGGAAAAGACCAAGGCTGATTCCAGTCATTACACACAAGAGATAACATATTTAAAAAAGAAGGAATGAGAAATTTAAAAAAAACTAATAAAATAAAGTTTGTCTAGGAAAATAAAGATTTAAGTAGTTTTAATTGAACTTATTTCATATCAAACCTTCTATAAAAAGAAACAGACAACTTGAAAACAGGCCGGTAGAAGGGCTTGATATAATCTAGCAGTGTCATTTTTACCCCATATAAGATTTTAAAAATATAAATAAAATTTCATAAAATAAAGTTAATATTTATGTTAGCAAAGATATTATACTAAACAGTTTTGCTTCCTGCTTGTTTTACTCTTCAGCACCCACAACTGATACACTAATTTTTTACTCCCAATAATAAATAGATTATCACATCTAATTAAACCTATTTAATTAAAAGATCCCAAAATATTTTATTATATTATCACAGATTTAATTTCACATGTTAAGTTCCAGATTCTCCGGCGATAAAATTTAAACCTTATCATTTTGCTTGGTTACCATATTTTTGCTTTCTGAATAGCATTTTAATTTTGGTTACTATGAAAATTATTTAAGTGTTGTTCACTAACAGATTTACTAATAGTAGAAAAAGTTAATTCCTAACAATGTTTCATAATTTTGTACTAATAAGTTTAATCTTATAATTTTGCAAAAAAAAATAAATAATAATAATTGCTATCGTAATGGAATTTCAGAAATTATTACTTTTGAGCCTACTTAAACATAGTGAAAGGGGGGGGGTTGGCTTACTAAAGGATCCACATAGCCTATGTTGATTAAAATTAATAAAAACAGATTATATATATATGTAATACAAAAATTAAATACTTTTGTATTAATAAAATCATTAAAACTTCATTCGTTTTCATAAAATATCTTTGGTGAAGGATAAGGGTAGAAATTCTATTTTGGGACTTCAAGGCTAAAATCATGCCAATGAATAATAATTAGATTTATACTTCAAAAAAGAAGTTATTTTAAGATCTTTCACTTCCATATAAGGAAAGATTAAAAGATTTGCTATGAGTAATAAATAAATTGACGAGGCGTAGGAATACAGAAAAAGGCAATAATGACTGACCTCTGCACAACGTTTAATCATCCTATAAAATAGAGGAGCAATATTTTTGCATGTGCTTTTTGTTGTTTATCATGCTTAAATAAAATCCGTCAGCTTAGACGGGACATGGGTCTCCCCCCATCTCCAGATTGGAGGGGGCTCAAATGTATGCTTTCACCATCGCTACTAAATAAAAAAGATTATGCACAATATGGACTCGTTAATCATGCTGCTTTGACTGTAAATAACTAAAAAATAACGGTGTGGTTACACCGTTATTACATATATGTATATATATATAATTTTTATTCAAAAATAAAAATGTTACTAAAATAGTATTGATGAATGTCAGTGGGAAAGCCTTGATATTAAAATTTCTTCTCACGTGTTATATTCATTGATGGGAGAGAGAGTAAAGTAATTGATAGCGCTAAGA